TAAAAACGGAAAGTCAAATATTGTTTTCATTTTTATTATGAATTGCATTTGCTGTTTCCGACAAGTCTGTATGTTGGCAAGGTTTTTAGGAACATCATTTTAATAGCTTCACCATCTTAATTTTACAACTCTGTTTACATGATATGTGGATATATCTCGCTGTCGATGGGTTTTAGTCCGACACGCAATTAAATTGATTAAAGTGCGACGCACCTTGTACGAAAAACAACAGCTTCGATAGACAAATCAAGCTGGGGCCATAAATTGTCGCACGATCATAAACCAAATATATGCTAATGCTAATAAAATTTCTAAAGAAAGATTAGGAAACCGAAACATTATGTACATTGGCTGCCGTTGAAATAAGAAGTTTTGATTTTTACGACCAATCAAACTCAGTTGCGTGTTTTTTAAGACGGTGTAGGACAAGTGTTTGCAGCTCGCTAATACAGCAATAAATTTGTAGTAAATATTGAAACCACAAAAGCAGTGAGGAAGAGGAAAAGGAGAGAGAGATAAAGAGTTGAACTTAGCTGTATGCGCAAGTATGTTAAAACACTAAAAAGGAAAACTTTATTTGTGGCCGGAAAACTAGAAAAGCGAAAAACAAAGCATTGCTCACGCATATATCAAAGGGGAGAAAGAAATACTTCAACATTTTATGACCCAGGCCAATGTACTAAAAACAAACTCATAAATACATATAGCTTAACATCTCCAGTGGGTCAACAATTACGAAAACTCTAGCTCATAATTAATACGAGGCAACCAACAGACAGCTCAAAGTTCGAGCAATAAATAAATAAAATTATTTTGAAAAACACGTGCCCAAATTAAAACAAGTAAGAAAGCTCTAGTCGGGGGAGCACGACTATGACATACCCGAAACTCCGTCCTCTATGTGCTTTTAAATGTTTTCCATAGCTGAGGTTCTGTCATGCCACCTTCTGCCCGTTACATACATTTTCACAAAACCATTATACCCTCAAATACCATTTTCAATGAGATCAGGGTATTATGAGCGGAAATTCAATTGGATACTTCGGTATTGTAATTTATTTTTGTAGCTTTGGATAATTACAACGCTCCACTCCCTCCACTTACAATGAAAACAACTCGAAACAACATCAAAATTAACAACAACAACCACCGTTCGCATTTAATTAATGTGATTTTTTTTACCAAGACAATAGCAATAAAAAATATAAATAAATAAATATACACAACACGTTGTCTGGCTGAAATTTACCGTCGTAGAAATTTGAATAAATGGAAATAGATGTGAATATAAAGAAACAGTCCAAAGTTGTGGCATATACCTAATGAATATTCAGAGTAAAAGTGTTCAATTTTGTTTGTTGGTTTTGTGTTTCTGATAAGTTTTTAACACATTTCTGTTGCGCTACAGAGAGCTGAAGTCGGGGCATCTCGATTTCGAGTAGCAATCGGTAAGTAGAAAATGTTTAACCAAATAGAAATGCCAATCCAATCCAAACAAATGTGAGCAATTTGAGTGAAGCATATTCCAGTTGCACAAATAATAAACAAATAAATAAATTAAATACGTAGCAAATCATTTAAGTGCAATAATATATAAAGCAAGCTAGACATATTGGAGTTATGTAGAATTATGTTAACATGAACAGACTGCTAAGCTCTATGTTATATAAAAGCCACTTAAGAGCCTAACATTCTGTTAAAATCATATGCAATGAATCCAATTTTATGTATGCTTTAAACAATATATATTTTACCCTTAACATATAAGGGTAAGTAATGTACTCACACATATATTGTTTTAAGCATACATAAAATTAGATTCATATTCATATATGATAGAATATTGGTATAATAATTTTTCATGTTTGTTAAAACTAATTCCATTAATGAGGTTTAGCATAAGGTAATGTAAAACAACATAATATATTATAAAATGTTTATGGACAAAGAGCTATTAGAGAGAAATTAATAGAGTAAAAGTTTGTTAATTCATAATAAAATAAAATTAATATATTAATTCTATCCTTTGGTTTTTTTAAATCAAATATATATGCATATATTGAAAACATTTTACTTAGCTCATCTCTTAGTCTATTTCATGTCATAAAAACAACTGACACATTTCTGAACTGACATTCAGCCTAATGTATTCATAAATAGAGCACTCATTTAAGATATTTATATATACTTTTAATGATTTTGGCTCTAAGCACATTTGTATTTTTCTACCCCCAAATAAATCTGCATTTAGGAGCAAATGCGTTGCAACAAAAAAGTAAATTTGGACACGCAATGCACCCACGCACTGCACGACTCTAATTTATTTCGCTACACTTTTCATTTGTCGTAACGCGTCGCTAATTAAGCTATTTTTGAAAAATATATATATGTATTTTTGTATATATATATATGACATGTGTGAATGTTTGTGTGCATTATGCCTTAGCTGGGCGTGACTCGTGTCTGCCACGTTGTCTCGCTAGAGAGGACAGAAAAAGAAGAAGCAGAAAGAACCACCACGACACAGTATTCAAGATCGCGTGTTGCCCAGACTGGCAGCTGTGCCCAATTAATGTCACTTTGCTCACCATTTCAATTTGCTATGAGTGCTGCCTATGAGCATATAGAAGTACAGTGAAACCTCGACTAACACACAGTTTGTTTTGAATACTTTTCAGCCTTAGTTGGTCAACTTACATACTCTTTTTGACTGTTTATCAAGTAAGTCTTCACTGTACCCATATCTTGATGTGGGCGTACACAACATGACTGCAAATTAGCCAAATGAAATAAAAATAGACCAAATTTCACACAATTTTTCTGCAAGAACTGTAACCAAAATAAATTCTGTTGATAAGCATTGAGAATGTTGGCCAATTGATGTGTCAGACGATAAACATTTTTTATATAAATTCACAATTTTTTTATGTGACAGTGAACTCATTTTCCACATAGAAACGCACGCGCCCACAACATGCTTTCAGTTAAATATACATATATCAAATATATATATATATATATATATATATATATATATGGGATACTTAGTATTTTTGGGTAGGCAGACGTTCGTGACTTTTATTGTTAAATATAAAAAAAATATAAAAGTATTTTGGGTTTTATGGCGCAAATTAAGTTGGCAAAGATTATTTCAAGAGGGGAATATGCCTACTCTGATTAGTTTTCTTTGAAATAGTTAAAATATCTTTATAATAAATTTCATAGAGTAATTCTAGCAAATCCACAAATTCATGTTCAAAATTATCAAAAGGTGTTATCAAATAAAACAATAATTATCGATTTTTATTATGATAACTGTTTATTAATCTCAACAGTCACAAACAAGTTCTAAATTGCTTTTCAACTAGATCTTGAGCTTAACATGAAAAAGTTAACCGAAAATACGAGCAATAAATTGATTTGTATCGATTTGTCGATAACAACTATTTCGTATCAATAGTATTTAATGACTAACAAATTTCTGTCGACTTAACCACCTTTAGTTAAATATAAGTATATATTTATCGAAACGTATAAGACAATCGCTATTAAAATAATCGTTAACCATAATGTAAAAATCATAAATGATTTGTATCCCAATGAGTTAAGATCTAGCTAAAAATTTGCATTTAAATATATCTTTAGTCGACAATGATAAAATTTAATAACGTAAAATTCAAACTAAAGAAAATGTATCTATAAATCGATAACAGTTATTTTGTATTTGGCATTTAACTGTTATATTCGTTTTTGTTAATATTATACCCAAATGGTAAGGATATATTCAAGTCGTACATCGAAAGAAAAAACTTTTTTAATATCGAGTGTGCGTCATAAAAGTGCATAAGTCTGGCGCGCATTTCAAAATTTATGAGCTCGTCTAATGAATTTATAGACGCTAATATTGGAGATGACCTGGCACGACGATCAATTGATAATATATATACACACACATATTCATGTAGCTGTAATGTGAATGGTGGCCCGCTGAGTTCAGAATTTATGCGTTTCGGTGGCCGTCAAAAATATTTGTTTGAATCACTTTTTACACGCGTCTACAGAGACCCAGTGCACTCTGCACCGCAGGCACCGCATCTCATATTCATCAAATTTTGAATGATTTCGACATATTAAAAGCTTATCATAAAGAGCTGTCATGTCAACAGTTCATTGTGAGATTATTCTCGATTGAGCAATCGTCATGAGCGGAAGTCAAACATAATTTAATTTCATGAAAGATTTATTAACTCTGAGTGTTCCCTATAATTAAGTATTTTTCAAATATATTGAAATAGTTACAAAGCTTAAAAAGTTAAATTTATGAATATATTCCATATTAATAGATTTCGAAATGAATTACATTAAAAACACTCTTCAGCAAACAGTTTACATCCACAAACAAATAAAGATACCGAAAAGATAACTAAATTGTTTGGACTGGTCAAGGCAATATTCTTTGAACATTGCTATGCGCAGAGCTTTCACTGTAGGTAGCCCAGTTTCTAACATATGTTGGGCGAAGCTCTTCTGTATATTCCAAACAATTGAAAGTTTACGGCGCCAATAAGATCTTCTAACAAAGCAAAACACAAAATAACAAAAAAATTCACATAAACAACAAAGTGTTTTCACGTATAAAAATAAAAATGCGAGAATCACATTTCAATATGTGTAATCCGCTGAAGAAACACGAAGGCTAATAAATTCTTGACTTTAGCTAAAAACAAGTTCTCTTCTCGTTTTCGTTTCTTCTCTTTTTTTGGCGACACTTCACGTAAATTCCAAGAATTGATTAAAGCACAGAAAAAAATAAGTTTAATTAAATGCAAACATCAATATAAATTATTATTTTAACAGTTGCTAACTGATTTGCATTGGCGCCAAGCGGGAGATAAGAGTAAAGCGAGAACAACCAAAAAATAAAAACATTGAAAATTTATGGCCTTTACGTCAGAGAAATTCGATAATATAATAGGCCGATAAGCGATTGATAAACTTACCTGATCTTGACAGAAATAGCCGAAGCCGATGATGCCCGCTATGGCTAAAAATAGGCAAAACAGAATAATTGTTCGTATTTTTGAGCGTGGTTCCATCTTTTTAATCTCATAAACACCGCTGGGTAGCAATAAGGCAAAATCACTGTCAACTTGTACGGAAACGTTCTTATGCATATCCACGGGCATGTTCCATAGGGTCACAACAGTTGCTCGTTTAATCACGGGTACCTCTAACACTCGTACAACATTCACGTGAGCGGCTCAACCTACGATCAAACAGCCGTCAATTGCCGTCCAGTCATTGTCCGATAAAAATCAGTGCCACCTATCGGTCACATTTGGCGGCGCATATATATAGTGAGAGACAGGGATTGCAATCGCGCGAATAGCTGTAAATGTAAATAAGAAAACTTAATATTAGATTATATATAAACTTAATATTATATTATATATACTTAATCATAGTTTCTTAAGCCTATTTCTTTTTTCCTCCTTTTTTGCTAGTTCATGACCGACTTAGATTAGACATGCTGTAAATAACAATTTGTCTATTCTTATCTACAGTCGAGGCTTTTATTGCAGATCAGCAGCAACAACAAGAAATTATTCAATTACATAAACAAGTCTAACGAGTACATTCCAAAATCAATAGCGTAAGTGAACTAAGCTAAGCAGAAAAAAATTAATATATTTCCATTTTTAATCGCGTAAACTAAAAGCTGATTTAATTTATGCAATGCAAGCAGCGAATACAAATTAGTTCTATATTAATCTATATAAATCCAATTACACTATTTGGAGTGAAACAGTGCAGAACAATTAGCCAGCTTTATGTTGAAAAAAATTATAAAAAGCGTCATTTCACAAATTTATTTAAATAAATAAAGGTTAATTACACTTGGCAATAGTAAAAAGACTATGTTTCATGTTTAATTATGTTTAAATAATTCTTTAGGTAAATCTAGCTTTTTTTCGGTCAGATTTAGCCATTAAGTTGGCTGCTCTGACAGCCTATTTGTTGTATTCCCCTCTCTCTCTTCCACTTGTGGTTTTCAGTTGGTGTCAAACAGTGGCTAGCAGATAAGATAAAAGCTAATAAAATAATTACATAAATATAATTTTACAGCAATTTTATTTGTAATTTCATTCGAAATTGTGACTGGAATTTGAAGAGAGCATGTGTATAAAGGAAAAGCCGGCAACACATCGCATTTTGACGGCATAAACTACATTTGGAACCAAAATAAACGCCTTTCGGCAAACAAATCAAAATAAGAATGTATACACGAAGTGTAGGTAGAGATAATGAGCATAAATCAAAAATATACATATGTATGTATAAATATACAACGAAATTGGCACACTACAAATAGATGGAAACATAAGCAGTCTGTTTGCCGCCCAGGCGACGTCATGCACAGTGGGCTGCTCTCATTTTCCGCCAAATGTAAATGTACGTGCGTGTGAGTATGTGTGAGTGTGTGTATGCACATGTTTACGAATTGTCGGTTTTGCAGTTGTGCCAATAAACAGCAAGTAAATAAAATAAGTTGGCAGACTAGTGATAACTGTAAAATGCAAAAAGAGCCGGTATATTAAAGCAATATTTGTGGACGCTCCCATTTCATTGCATTGAAAATGTTGCATTTGCTCTCAAAATTTAAATATTAACATGATTTGTTTAAGAAATTAATAGATTTTCTGTTAGATTTTAAATTAAAAAATAAGTGGCCCAATATATTGAACACTGACATTTTACCACATTCCTATTAGACTTTAATTGCAAAATGTAGCGCAACATAAAAGCAATCATATTTACACGCCAACTTAACAGCACTCTTATTAGCCAGACATGCGTTTGCCAATTGGAGTTATGCTAATAATTGCCAAGTGCACAGTGGGCTAAGGTGCTAATGTAGCACGTGCCCATTTGGTAAGCTAATAAATTAGCAACATTTAAACTAAAACTGATTTCATAAGTGACCACACGCTGCGTTCATTGCAACGAGTAAGCCACAATAAACAAATAAGATAAAACGGACAATTAAACAATTTATAAACACTGCCGCAGCAAGCACGCAGAGCGCAAAACAAAAACAGAAGCAGAAACCAAAGCAGAGACTGAAAAACAGCTGTTCGCATTTTGTATGCTGCAGCAACAAAATTCGTTTCAATTTTTTGCACAGCTTAAATCACTTTAAAAATACACTTACTTTAGCCCGTCCCACTCAACACTCTATTAAATATTAACAATTTTAATAAACGGCTTTGGCTTATTTATTTACATTTTTATTTTGTACATTCTGACCGCATGCACGCTCATTTAGCGCGTCTCTTGCTTTGTGTCGTGCATTCGCCTCAAACAAAACAAGCCACACTATAAACACTCGAACATTATTTGAACAAAATTATAATCTTAAAGAGGCGCAACACTTAATTTATTTAACTATAAAGGTATTGATTGTTATTTTTTGACAATTACACGCTAAATGTTTTAATATTTGGTTACGAAACGCGTAAGGACTTCCGACACATCCGTTTTCAGCAGCAGCGGCGGATATACTGAGCAAAAGGAAAACAAATATGCTTGCTACAGGGCTGCCAATCTGTTTCACTCACGCAGCTGTTGTGTTAAATAACAGCATCGTGTTATTAACAGCGATTGTTAGCACTGCTAAAGCTATCGATAGCACTCATACTAATAGTTGTAGCTGACTTCGCCCAACCTGGCACGTCAAAGCTGTGCGTTTTAAATCGAAAAAAATTCGTTACCCGCCAAATTGGAGATGCGTATATTGATGCTGTTAAGCGCAGTTTTTGCAACGTTTTGCAACGCCAGCTACGATTATTATCGCCTGCCACGCTCTATCAAGCCGCAACACTACAACCTCCGCATCATGACACATCTGGAGAATCCCAAACGCCTCATCTTCACGGGCGATGTTGAAATAATGCTGCGCATCTTCCAATCCACCAACAATATCACGTTGCATGCCGGCCCTGGCTTAAATATTGCCGAAGGCAGCACACGCCTGCAACTAACAAAATATCATTGCCACGAGCTGATTGAAATTAAAAGCATGCAACGTCACTCGAAGTATGATTTCGTAATATTGCATTTAGATCAATATTTACAGCGTGGACAACGCTATACGCTGCGTCTGCGATTCTGGTCAAGATTGGGACACAGCATGGCTGGTTACTACGCTAGCTCGTACTTGGACAATGCAGACGACTGTGGCCAACAGTTTGTGACATCAAATCAAATATTTCTATAATGCATTTATCTATTTTCTCAGATTCATGTCTGTGACGCAGTTTGAGCCAGCGGATGCGAGAACTGCTTTTCCCTGCTTCGATGAGCCCGACTTCAAGGCCACCTTCAACATAACGCTGGGCCATCACTCCAAATACAATGCGCTTAGCAATATGCCTGTACTGGAGAGAATACCCATGTAAGTATATGGAGCAAGTGGAACCAATGTAATGTGGTCTCTTCTAAGATTTGCAGATGCGAACGTCAGAATTGGCTGTGGAGCATATTCAAGCAAACGGAGCTCATGTCGACCTATCTGGTGGCATATAGCATCAACAACTTCCATGGCTACGCCTCCCAGAATTATAAGGGTCACGTTCGCTTTACCACCTGGGCACGTGCCTCGGCTATTGAGCAGTGTCGCTATGCATCGGAGCTGGGACCGAGGATTATGTCGCAATTTGAGAAGATGATTGGCATAGAGTATACGTTGCCCAAAATGGATCAGTTGGCAGTGCCGGACTTCAGTGCTGGCGCCATGGAGAACTGGGGTCTGATTACATACCGTGAAGCTTCACTGTTTTATGCAGAGGACGCCTCATCACATCTGGACAAACAGCATATAGCCACCATCATTGCCCATGAGTTGGCCCATCAGTGGTTCGGCAATTTGGTTACCATGGAATGGTGGAATGATCTTTGGCTAAATGAGGGATTCGCCACATACATGGCTACACTGGCCATGGAGAAGATGTGCTGCCAGTGGCATGCCTACAAGGAGGATATGCTGGACAATGTGCTGGCCGTGCTCAATACGGATGCGTACTTCAATACCCGGCCCATTCATCAAGCAGTCAGTCGTGCCAGCCAGATATCGGAGCTCTTCGATGCAATTACCTATCGCAAGGGCGCAGTTCTCATACGCATGATGCACATGTTCATTGGGGATGTGGCCTTTCACAGTGGTCTTCATTGCTATCTGTCGAAGCATGCCTATGACAATACCAGACAGGCGGATTTGTGGCTGGCGCTGACTGAGGCGGCGCATGAATATGACAGCATTCCGCTCGATCTGCAGGTGCAGACTGTAATGGACACGTGGACGTTGCAGAAGGGCATTCCCTTGGTCCAGGTGAAGCGGCATTATCTGAAGAAATCGGCAACAATTACGCAACAGCGATTTCTAATAATTCAAGAGGATGATTCGTACAATCAAGCGGAAGAGCATCTGGACGAGAATCCTTGCTGGTTTGTGCCGATTAGCTATGCCACCCAGTGCACCTACAATTCCATTGCCACTGAACCGCGTGCCTGGCTGCGCTGCACAGCACAGCACGAGCCTGTGCCGCTGCTACTGCAAAACCTGTCAGGCGATGATGAATGGCTGATCCTCAACATCCAAGTGGCGGCTCCATATCGCATCAACTATGACACTGACAATTGGGAACTGATCAGCAAGACGCTCCACAGCAGCGAATATTATCGCATCCATGACATGAATCGCGCCCAGTTGTTGGATGATGCACTGGCTCTGGCTTGGAGTGGCCTGATGACCTATGAGCTGACCCTGGAACTGTTGACCTACGTGAAGCAAGACAGCGCGTATATACCCTGGCGTGCAGCACTTGACCAGCTAAATAGCATTTATCGCATTATCCGTTACACTGACGATTTCGAGGAGTTCCAGGTGTGGCCACATCCCTCGAGTCTGCTAACCTCGAATGCATTCTTAACAAAACTCATCCATAGCACTTTATGCATCACTTGCTGTCGCCCATTTACTGCTACCTGGACGGCATGCAGAAATATGGCGATAACCGCCATCATGTGGCCCACAAAACATTGATTGCGAAATGGGCATGTCACCTGTCTCTAAGAGATTGCGTCGAGCGTGCGCTCAAGTATTATCATCGCTGGTTCATCTGCAGTCAGCCGGATAGCATGAATCCCGTGCCTGTCAATCTGCGCTCAGTGGTCTACTGCACCGCCATGCAGCACGGCGACGGGGAGGATTGGAACTTTCTATGGCACAGATATCGCAATAGCTCGCTGGCCAGCGAACAGCGTCTGATTCTGTTCGCCCTCGGCTGCACGGAGAAAGTATTTTTGCTGCAGCGCTACCTGAGGATAGTCTACCATGAGCAGTCATTCATACGCAAACAGGATGCTTCGCTAATCTTTGGCGCCATTGTGCGCAGCGAGGTGGGCTTCGGCGTGGCCAGAGATTTTTATTTCCAAAACTTCAAGTTACTGCAGAAATAGTAAGTGCTACGAATTGACATCCAATTATAAATGTGAACGATATATGGGATTAGATGTATATATAATTATATATATATATATATATATATATATATATATATACATATATATATATTTGTAGCATTCTTACTGTACTAATCCCACTCTCTCCCCCTCCCTTTTGGACACTTTGAAGCTACAATGCGAATACGCACGAATTGATTGCACTACTGAACCTGATTGCACAGCACAGCAGCTCCCTTGAGGACTATAAGCAGCTGAAAACGTTCATCGATGGCCACCAGTTGGTATTGAAGCAGAGCTCATCGCGCAGCTTGTTGCGCGCCTTGGAGCAGGCGAAAGCGAATGTGCTTTGGCGTCAGCACAAGCTGCCCGAGTTCGCCAGGCAGCTGGCCATGTGTAATTGTGACTGAGCGTGTGTTTATTGTGAATGATTTTATTTGTTTTATATATAATTTAATTGTCGTATATTTCATTAGTATTAAACATTGAAAAAGCCCCAAGATAAGCGCTAAGATTAATCACAGTACACAAAACCCGTTGCAATTAGTTCGCAGAGGCTGCACCACCACCGCCGCCACCACCTGAGAAAGCGGTGCTGGCATTGCCGGCACTAGCCGCAAATAGTCTTCTCAGATTCTGCAGCATGCCCCAAAGAACAGTGCCCGCTGTGCCCAGCGTTTCGAGGAGATCAAAACCTGTGCTATCGATGGCCTCCTCGCGATCCTCCTCCGTCTCAATAGCCGGCGAGGTGTTGTTACTATGCGGATGCGTTGCATGATGCACTCCACTATGTCCGATCAGCCGATGCGTATTGTTGATCACATGCGTATTGTTGACCCCTCCGCCGCCCACTGTATTCACCAGATGCTTGACCGGCTCTAGCACTGGTATGGCCAGCTTGATGCGATGCCACGTGTCTGGCTGCTCTGTGGAACTTTCGTGCTGCTCACTGACCGACTCCATCAGAGTGAATTCATCGTCCAGTGTATTGCGCTCGCTGTCAGGCGCATCATCTGTGTCTAGGGTATTGTTACTGGGTCCTTGCAACTGCAACAGGCTGCCGAACAGCTGCTGCACTTGAACCGAATTGATGGCCTCTGCCTCGTTGCGTTCAAAATCGAATTCTGCATGTGGAGCGGAGCCACGCTTCGAATTCACAAAGCTCACAATGTGCTTGTTACCTGTGCTTGTGGGCGTGGCACCGTCACGTGAAAGCGCAAGTGAAGGCAAGCTGCTGCTGCTGTTGCCGTTGGACGCTGGCTTCGCTGTCGCCATCAACAGCCACACGAACTGCATAAGAATTAAATGAAAAGGCAATTAAAATTTGCTGCTTAATTACGAGCCATAAGCATATTTTTGTTTCATTTATGAACTCTAATTAGCTATTCCATACGCGAGAACAATCGCATTTGGGCACACGCGACGCGCCTTAATTTGATGGCTTCGCTTCGCCTAGGAACATTCAAATGGTTCCATTATGCCCTAGAAATATATTCAAGGTCTTCAAAAGTATGGGTTGGGTGCAAAAAAAATTAAATATTACGTATACGCAAACACAAACTAAATATTACGTATACGCATAAATGTGCTATAGAGGAAACTGCAATTAAACCATTTAAATTCGGATCGAATCTTTTATCAAAAAGGAATTAAGTTCTTTGAAATATATTTCTAGCTATTTTTATACGCTGCAGGCTTTGCCAATATGAATTGACAAAAGGTTTGAAAAACTATATATATATATATAAATAATATATATATATACATATATATATTCTTTAATCTGAATCAACAAATGAGTTAATCTGACTCTGACGCTTCGCCTGACGTATGAACGCGTCGATATTGGCAAGTTTATATGCTGTAGAACTGTTTTTTATATATATTTCTGTAATATAATATAATTTCATTTAGATTTATTAAATTTGTTTAATCAATTTTATTTCGGAATGAAATAATTAACTATGATAAAATAATTATATTTATGATATGTTCCCACAACAATAAAGGACTGGAAACCGTTTATATTTTTTATATAAAGTTTGTAAAGACATATAGGCTTTTATATATTATTTCAGCTTCGAAATATATAGTTATCAATTTTTTTTATTGTTTTTAATGCTTGCATAATTTGCACCAAGGCAATATTTCAAAATATTTCAGGGGCAATGCGCTAAAAAATATTTGAATTATATTATCATATTTCTTTATTTACTTTACTTTACTTATTTCTTTATTCACAATTCCAGTAGATATATGTATATATATATAAGTTATTTATACATACATATATGAGTTATTTGCACAATTTAATAAGAGGTAGCTTTTTTATTAACGCGCTTACATGCAGAGCAATCAGAAGACATATGGAACTATATGTGGAGCTGGACAATCGCGACATTGTTATATATGTTATATAATCTATAACTATATGAATCGGATTGAAATTGAAAACGCCAGCGAAGCGCGTACAACGACAACTGAGCACTGACTGACTGATTGACTATAGTGGGGCCGATGGAGGCGGCCCAAAAGTAAAAATAAATAAATCTGAAGGTAGCCAATAAACACTGAATTAATATGCAAGAAGTGTGCCAACAATTGTTGTACCTAAAATTGAATTTAATATGTTTTAAAAGCTGCATAGCTAATGCCATTAAAATCGAGAACTGTTTTATGCTATCTCTCTCCCTTTTCCCCTCCCTCTCCAGCGCTTTTTTTTTATTTATTTATAACAATATAGAATAAGTTTTATAAAACTTGAACACACATCGTAGTGGGCGTATTTTTGGTAAGTTAAAAGTGACTCTAGAACTTGCTTATACCATTATGTTTATTATTTATATACATCTCTTCGAGAAAACATCAAAAATCTTTTCTTCTTTTTCAGTAAAACAGTATACATTAACTATATTCGAAATTCCAAATTTGTTCTGTAATGTTCTGATCACATAGATAATTTATAGCACTTTGAAGGCTATACACCTTTCGCCAAAGTTTTGGTAAATGTTTACATAAAATTTGCACCCCAACTGCATGCAATATTTTTAAATTGTCCGTCAGAAACAATTTCTCAGATACCAAGCGGGAGTATGCGTATCTTCGGCAAAATGACACATCTATTGCACGTAAGTAAAGAAAATATAATGACAATTGTAAACTTAGGTATACTGAGAAATTCGCATACATGATATATGTGTAGAATAGATCTTTGACGCGTTCTTGTATATGCAGGGCCATACAAGATGGTCCAAAAGGTAGATCAAGCCAAATTAGGAAATAAATTAATCTCGATTAATCTAAACATAACGGGAGTTTAACTGTTGTATATGCAACTATATATATATAAATATTTCCGAATTTATCCAAAAGATTTCAATCGCAAATGTTACAACTAATATCCCCTGACTAATATATATATATATATATTAAATAAAAATATATATATATATATATATATAGATACCCTGTCAGCTCTAAAATACGAGCTTTATTAGCTCAAATAAAAAATATAAATCAAAGTAGACTTTGGCAATTAATATGGACCTGGGCCTATCCCTAGCGGAGACTATTCAGTCAGCTTCTATACGTTAACAAATAAACATTACTTTTTTCTTTTTATTGTGAATATTTCTTGATCAAAATTAAAAGTTTATTCTTCCAAATTCTAAATTTTTCGGCTAAGAAAAAAAGTATTAATAAAGCAAATATTCTACACGTATGGCTACATATCTTTCACAGATCTCTCGATGTTTGAGCTATCATGCACCTATTTGTCGACCGCATCGACTACTCCATGGTAGTTGCAAGCAATGGAAAAAGATTTGCTCAAAGTGTGTGTGCTGGCAACCAACGCCATCTCAGTTAATTGAGCTACTTCCATCAGTACCTACGATGATACACGTTCAGCTCTATTCGCAACGTTCATCAAGTGTTTTTACCCCACAAACGAGTGTGGATATGCTGCGCAAACGCATTAGTTTTAGTGGAACACCATCCGAAAGCGAGATCGGCGAGTCGACGTCCAATGTGGTGCCTGTGGGCATCATAATGCCAGAGGCAAAGGATGGTAAGCAATTAAAGATTGTTATTGTGCCTCTTGACCTGGCCAATCAGGATATCGAGAGTCTGCGTAATACCCTCGAGGCGCTGAACCAGCTTCGCATTCATGCTAGTGAAATAGACGCTTTCACCAATAGTATGATCGAAGACCTGAACAACGAAGAAGCAGCACAGTCCTCCATTGAGCAACACCAGCCAGCCGTCATCGAGGAGATTACGGATGACAAACAGAAGCTGAGTTTCTTTGAAGGATATGTTCAAGGTGTCAAGAGTGCAGCCAACGAAAGTGTGGCTGAAGCTGCTAAAAACGCCGAAACGGCCGAAACTACCATAGCTGTAGGAGCTGCCGAATCTGCCGCGACTGAGGCGACTGTCACGACTACCGAGACTGTCGCGACTGCCGCGCCTACCGCGACTGCCGTGACTACCGAGACTGCCGAAACTGCTGATGCATCTGCTGGTTCTGTTGCCGTAAGTGCAACCGAAACTAAGAAGGTAACAGCCGAAGTCCCAATTATTACCAGCGAAAGTCAAAATGCAAAAAGCGAAACTGCGACAAGTGAACAAGTTAAAAATATGGCAAGCGAGGCTCCAAAACAAGCTGAAATCGTGCAGAAAGAAAGCGAAGCCCCATGTTTGATAACATCTAAAGCGATCGAGGAAACTGCACCCGTTTCCGAAATGACTGAAACAGCCGAGACAACCTCGGGTTTGCCTGCTACTTCTGCCGTGCCTTCGCACGCAGCAGATATTACTCCAATGACGCCCTTGCCGTACACGCCATCCATACCTTCTGCACCAAGCCAAACACCAGCGGCACCGATCACCACGCCTAGTACACCACAAACTATGCCACAGGCGATGCCTCTTGGGGATCCAAAAGAGCCGCAAATTAGTGCCAAGCACGAAACCGCTTCGAAGGCAGATTCAAACGAGGTGGCTAGCGCTGAGAATCAAGTAGATCAAATAAGCATCGAAGTGCCAGATTGTTTGGGTCAGCGATTGAACGATATGGCCATTGCTTCAATGCATTTGTCCTTTGAAATGGATATGACGAATGTGAGAGATGCCCTGATAAACGGTGAATTGGCTCAGCAACCCGAACCCACTTTAGGTAAAGATGCTATGGTTTTTCTGGAAACTAAAGTGGAAGCCGATCCGGAAAATCAACCGCAAAACACTGTTCCCCTGCGATTCAATGCGTTGATAAAGGGCATGGTTCAAATCGATGCTGACAAGCTCGACCCAGCTCATTTGAGCGATGAACAATTACCGGAGTATAATGACACGGTGACTTCAATTGCCGCCAGCATATGTAGCACTGCTCTGCAGCGTGGATTCGCAACTGAAGCGATGAATGCTGCCGAACAGCAAGAGCAACCGCCACAGGATCAATTAAACCAGCAGCAGAAGCAACAGCAGCAGCAGCCGACGACTCAGGTTGACTTGCCTGTTAATACAGACAAGTTAAAGGACGTAGTTGCACCCATTCACGCTGGAGGCAAAATAGCAACAAATGCTGGACGCATGGCATTGAAACGCAACCAGGCAATGAAACACATGAAGCAGAGTGTAACCATGAGCGCTGTAGCTGAACCCAACTATGAAGATAAACAGACATTTGTTAGTCCACAGCTTAAGGATGGCTGCAAGAATCCCATTGTGAAGAAAAAAAAGAAGTGCCCTAAGAAATGCCCACTGATCGATGATCCCTGCAAGGAGGATAAATGTAAGCGTCCGCAGCCGAAAAAGACTCAAAAGAAAGCAGAAAATACAACTGAAATAACAGCTAGTGCGAAAAAATGCAGTAAAGACGGTAAAGGTGGCAAAAAAGACAAAAAAGACAGTAAGGGCGACAAAAAGAAGGATCCCTGCGCAAAATTCAAGGGAGGTAAGGGCGATAAGGGAGGCAAAAAAGATTCTTCCAAGGGCGGTAAAGACGGTAAAAAAAAGGATCCCTGTGCCAAAAAGGGAGCAGGAGATAAGGATAAGAAAAAAGATCCTTGCGCTAAGTTCAAGAAAAGCGCCCAAAAAGGAAAAAAGGACGCCGATAAAAAGGGAGGCAAGAAATGTGACAAAAAGGGAGCCAAAGGCAGTAAGGGCGGTAAAGGTGAGAAAAAGAAAGATCCCTGCGCTAAATTTAAGAAAGGCGGCGATAAAAAAGGCGGAAAATCCGATAAGAAGAAAGATCCCTGCGCTAAATCTAAGAAAGGCGCCGATAAGAAAGGCGCTGATAAGAAAGGCGGAAAATCCGATAAGAAGAAAGATCCCTGCGCTAAATTTAAGAAAGGCGCCGATAAGAAAGGCGGAAAATCCGATAAGAAGAAAGATCCCTGTAAGAAAAAGTACTCAACATACGCTAGCCCCTATGGCTCACAGTTTAACTTTACCCGCAATCCTAAACGCTGCATGTCGTCACTCACATTGAATGGGCCAAAAACTCTCACTGAAAAGAAAACCTCGAAATTCCTACTGAAACTTCGACCCCATTTTAAAGCTTACACTAGCAGAGTACGTTCCAGTTACGAAAACAAACAAGCAATCATTTCCAACTGCTCTCTAAAGAAAAAGGCAAACACATCTTCAAAGGCTCCCGCCAAGTTTCGTGTGTATTCGACCTTAGTTCGTCGTCATTATGACGGTATGCCTTCGACCACACAGATGAGTGCCTGGGGTATTACGTCGCAGATTGTGCGTAATCAGATCCAACGTGGGTACAGCAAAAAGTCAAAAAAGAAGAAGAGCAAGAAAGAAATGGATAGCAAATGTATCGCACTCAAAAATAAAAGCAAACCATTGAAGCGTAAGGACATTAAAGCCCGCACGGGTCTACGTACCGATTGCCATAATCCAAATTTAGACGGATGTCCCAAAAAGTTTTGTAGCGGTGTATGTGGCAAGGTCAAAACTCCGCGGAAGAAATGCGCAAGGGATAATAAGCAGCCAGCGAGTCCAAAAATGCCCAAAAAGCCCAAGAAGAAGCTACCAGCTATATGCATGGTAGGAAAAAAGACCAAAAAAGGCAAAGGTGCATAAAACTCCATATATTAATCTAAACCCCAGCATGACTAACACTGCTCTCTAATTCTGTCCTAAGGTAGAAAGAAATAAGCTCCTAGCCCCGGGCGTTATAATTAATAATCAAATGCGAATGCTCAGCAATAAAGCTTATACAAAGCGGTGCATTTGCCAAGCTCAAGAGGCACAGATAACGGTGGAAGAAGGAGCCGACGATGATTCCAATACAATGGAGGTAGTACGTATTCCTGCATCATATCAGATAAGTAGGGAACGACAGCCACAACCGGATGTCAGACCTTTTGGTAAGATAGATCAGCTCAATAACGGACACTAAACTATGTCAAATCTCTTTAATCAGATGTACTTATTGACACCGGGTCAATAGCGCTTACTGGCTCGGACATACATGTTTATGAGAATGCGAATAAAAATATGGAAGGTATGACTTTGGGGCACGATGCCACTGGATTTGTAGAAAAAGTCGGAAGCTGTGTAAAACATCTGCATGTGGGTGATCGTGTTGTCATAGAGTCGGCCCTGTCCTGTGGAATTTGTGATTATTGCAAGCGAGGCTTGTATAACATCTGCGCCGATCTGATGTATAACGGCTTTTTAGCTACACACCAGACGCATCCAGCAGACCTTTGTCATCGTCTTCCCGATAGCATTAGCTTGGAGGAAGGCACCCTCACGCAAACCCTGGCGATGGGCTGTCAAGCGTGTTTCAAAGCTGAAGTATCGCCCACAAGCAATATTCTAATTATCGGATCAAGCCCAACGGCTGTAGCAGCAGCAATGTGTGCAAAAGCAATTGGTGCTCAAAAGGTAACCATTGCCGGCAGCATGAACTCTTCGCTGAAAATGGTTGAAACTGATTTTGGCTTCAATACAATATATTTCGATTCAAATGCGCTGTTCGGAGAAGTGCTAGAAAACGTGTATAACAAGTTCCAAGAATGGCCCAACTGCGCCATTAACTGCGCTATTTCACCGATGACCATGAATCTAGCTGTCATGGCATTACAGCCATGCAGTGCATGTATTCTAGCCGAATGCGAATCCGAATGCGCCAGCTTCAATGCACTAGACATACTAATGAAAAACATACGACTTATACCAAGCTTTCGTTCTGCAAATATGTAAGCGTAGCGTATTCATAATTAACCAAATTTATTCTTAATCCCTGTAGGTACCCAACGGCTTTACAACTAATTAAATCTGGTCGTGCACCGATGCATAAATTCATTGCAAAAACTTTCTCATGGAGCATGTTAGAAGAAGCGTTCAAGAGTGCGCAGCATGAGTCCAACATTGGATTACGAAAAATTATCGTTAATAATACAGAAGAGATCAACATTGGGGGACTGTTCAAAAAAAAACCTAAAAACCATTTTTGACCACCTTTAGGTATACAAATTTTTTTGTTCTAGTATCCTTTTGCTGTATAAAACAAAGGCTTTGTAAAAAAAAATAAACACTTTTTAAAAACAAACTGCTTGCAAACAATTGTTTTAATTTGTTTCAAAATACACAATATTCAACATTTATTGTTGCTAAGCATCTATGAATCTCTCTCATTATAGACTATTTAACGACCCCCAATCGTCAGTTTATACATTTGTATTTAAATTATTGTACTTCGCTGCTTACAACAAACTATTTTACAAATTTACATACACAAGAAATAAATATTGAGTCTTGTTTGCTAAGGAGGGAATTAAATGTAGAAACAAGCAAATATATGAAACGTAAATTAATCATAATCAAACATAACAAACGTTAACATAATTATTAGCATCATACTACAGTTGGTTCACTGCAAGCTTCAGAAACATAAGATCGCATGTGGATGTTGAATATAAAAATAGTTTTTGAGCTAACATCTAATCAATATTTTGCATATGTAGATATGTATATGTAGGTATGTACGAGTGCATGTGTTTGTGTGTGACTAATTCTGGATTGCATCTGGTTTCAATATCTCGGTTTACACGTAATTGTTGTTCCCTTTTGGTTTCGTTTACTTTTCACGTTCAACATCTTGCATGTGTGTATCAAAAAGCAGTCGAATTTGGCTAGATCAAAACGCTTACGCTTTAAAGTTATAACATAATTATAATAATAGTATAGAATCGTCAGTGTCAAAAAAGTAGCTAAGCTCGACGCTGCGGTCAAGCATTCATTTATGAAGGTAGTTTGTTTTTTGGTTATTTTTCATTTCTTCACATTAGATTCATTAAACTCGTTGCAAAAACAAATAATATTCGCAATTGTGCTGTAACCGGCCCAATTTCTAGTTATCATGAATTTGCATTTCCAGCTCGACATCCGAAAGATTTATTTCGCGCATCGAATTGATATACATGTAGCGCGATGTGTAGATATATAACCAACGGAACCATTTCATTTGAGAGCGATGCTCCATCATGGCGCCTCTGACCACTGACGCCTCCTTCCAATTGAGTATGCACCTGTAAGATAAGTTAAATTAAATTATATATAAATGAAACCCATATTGGAATACATACCAATGCGTAGACATAAAGCATGTACATAGAAAATCGAAGACGGATAAATATTTGCGTACCAAATTGATCGAGTCTAGTGTGTAAAACTTACAAGCTGATATTTGTCCCATATAAAAAAGAATATATATATACAAAAATATTAAAAATTATCGTAGCTATAATTAGAAAACATAACGTTGGCAAAAGCAGCAACAACATCAACAAAAACAGCTTCAATTAGCATGACAATCAACATGTGCAATGCGTTCTGTAGACTGTTTTGTTTTTATTGCTGGCGCTGCCAACCCGTGACTCACCCTTGGGCAATAAATTGGCTAAACACAAAGAAGCGGCCGCATAATACACAGCACAATGATTGGGATGCGAGCTGACCCCATCGCGATCGAAGGTGAATATCGCTTCTATATCAAGACTCTCAACAGTATGCAATATAAGGCTGGCAACCGCATCCGGCCGCCATTCAACATTCGGATCATCTGGCAAATAGGTGGCATTCACCAATATAACATTCGATTCGGCAATGCCCAAACGCTTGCATGCCCGAAATAGCTCCTCTCGACGCGATTGAGCCTTTTGCTCATAGTTGCCTATAATGAACATTGTTAATTAACTTTTATTACAGGTAAGGGATATGAATATTTGTTAATTGCTCACCATTCGACAAGCATAACACGTACACCTGACAGCCATCACGCTGTGTCAGCGAGTAGATCAGCGGACCAAAAAACATGCATTCGTCATCCGGATGTGCGATGACCAAAAGTACTCTGCCCATTAACGCAGCCTTGGGCAGATGAACGCTACGTAAACGTAGAGATTTTTGTAAGGTATTTCGTAAACCGTTCTTGTCGTCGTTTGCGTTGACATTGTGCCGTTGCTGTTGCTGCTGTTTCTTCCTTGCGACTGGGGCGCCTGTCACCGATAGCCAAAAGGTCAGCTTGTATAGGCCTAGGCATACTAGAAAGTATACCGCACATGCAATCAGTATATGCTCCAGCGCTTCAGCCGATGTGGACTTGATGCGGCAATAGATAGCTTGAGGGGTGAGCAGTTCCAGGCGTACCTCAGCGAATGGGCGTGCAATAGCGTCGTATATACGACTAACGTTTATTATGTTGGCCAAGTATTCGCTTAGCCAATTCAATTTCATTTCATTGCGTTTGCTGCGTTTGTGCTGATTTTCGTTTGGCAAAATTATTCACCAAAAATGGACATATAATGTAATAATAGTATTTGTATCGTTTCAGTTGATTTGCGATCAAAACCAATAATTTTATAATACTAGACTAAAATATGAACACGTAAATAATTCAACTTATTGTGTAATTTAATACTTTAAACGGCTTCGTAATCTACGCGGCAGAACTAAAAAATCGCATTTTATTTTTGCGCTGCGTGTTTTTTAATGGGGGCAACAACTAGGGATGCGCGCGTGAACAACCAGTGCACTGATATCGTGTTAACACGCGTATAAGCGACAACAAATCGACTGACCATCTTTTCATGATAATTAGTCAGTGTGGTGTTTTTTTTTTCACTTCGCTTCTTCCGGCTGCAAGTATTTATTATTGTATTTAGTAAATACGCGATTTAAAGCTTCCAATAACGGATTACGATTACAATGCATTTTTATTAGAATTAACTATCGGTAACACTGCGATATGTTTCCATTCTAGTACTTTTGTTTTAGCGCATTTGATTTCTGTTATTTGAAAACGTCAAATGATTCACTGGCATTCAATTAGGTGGTACAAAATGCGGCAAAAAATTAAAAAAATAAAAATTGATTTATTTTATTTTTCACAATATAGAGATAATATTGTATAATTATGTTATGTATATATATCAATCACATATTAAATATATTTATTTACACGTCACACAATCGAATTGTATGTGATCATCCGAAGAATTGGCGATGGGATTTAGGCAACTTTTATTTTTGTAAATTTAGTATAAAACGCAATGAATTTATGCTGAGTTTATAATTTGCTTACTAGAAAAATACAACCAAGTGAAGAAAACACAGCCTTGGTTCCTGTATCATTTTTTTTTTAGATACATAATTGTTAACTTAACAACAATGTAAACCTGTATTGCTGAATATCGTGACACCAACAAACATCACCAGCTGTCTGGACTCAGCTGATCAATATAAGCGTTTTCGATAGTCGATAGTTCCAAGATAAGAAAAACAACAAATCTATCGCTTTTCATGCACCTCTAGTGCCGAATTCATGAAGAGGCAGTAAAGTTTTTTTATTCAAAAAAATTAATAGTTAATAATTTGTATAATTGTTTCATCGTGTGTATTTTGTATTCCTAAACCTGCTGTTCCCACTGGAGCGGTTTGTATTCTGCTCAATCTACCAGCCATCGCATTGGACCGGGTTGAATTCAAGCGGCATTTGGAAGACAAAATTAATCAAAGCAAGCGTGTTGCTTGTGGCTCGCTGTAATTAGGTTAAAAGTATCAACGACTGGCAATAGCAGCAGCAGCAGCAGCACCAACGTGTGGCGTGTGTGTGGTTGGTTAGAGTGAGCCGCCCGCAATATCAATCAAAACCATGGCACACCAGCAGCAGAGCATGGATGCGGCATTGTTCGAGCGACGACTGCGACCGGTCTACGGTAAGTCATATCAATATATATATATCTTATATATATATTAATGTTTGTTTTCACAGACAATTTGGAAGTGGGTAATAATCGTAAGGCTCTACAGGAATCAGAGAAACTTCTACGAAAACATCCAAATTTACTTTGCGCACGTGCTCTCAAGGTAAAAGCAGTTACTGCGAAATATAATCATTTTTAAAGTTAAACTAAAAAAAATAAATTTTTGATATTGTCTACTTATATATAGGGATTATCTCTTCTACGTCTAGGCCGTTACGAAGAGAGCCACAGCTCCCTGCAATCCGTAGCCGAGGAAAAGCCCGTGGACGATTCTACCTTGCAGGTGCTTTCTTTCTGCTATCGTGAAATGGAACAACGTAAGATACAGACAATGATACAGAGAGAGAGAGAGAGAGAGAGAAAAAAAAAAGCCGACCGTTTCATATTTATAAGTATATTTCTTGGCACGCGCACATGGTCGAGCAATTAAAATTGCCTTCGCACTTGCTTTCATTTGCGCAGAAATTAGCCACTGCACATAGGCACTGGCAAGCCGAACGGCGGGTAGAGAATGCGTCTATAGCGCGTGCCAAGAAACCGAACTGATCTTTTTGATAAGTATGTGTGCCTAGTACGCACTGTATCTATAAATTGGGTAAAACAGTTTTATAAAAACAAACAAACAAACAATCTGTCCGTCTGTATAAACCTGTCCTTCATTAACAACAACTTATACAATGTGATTTAAATATGTCAGACTGGTTGCGGGATATATACAGTTCAGTACGTTGCGAGCCTTTTTCACTATTAAGCCAATTAATTAGCATTAACTTATTTTATCTTGTAGTGGACAAAATTGTTGAACTCTATCAACACGCTGTCAAACAGAACCCAGGGAATGAAGAGCTGCTGGCACATTTATTCGTATCACATGTCCGCGTTGAGGATTACAAGGCGCAGCAGGCCGTTGCCCTACAGCTGTATAAAGCGCAACCAAAGAATGCTTATTACTTTTGGTCCGTGATCAGCGTGGTATTCCAGGGCATACGTGGTCCCGAATCCTGCACACCTGAGAAGCGTAAGCTGTATCTGGCACTGGCGCAGCGTATGGTTGACAAACACATCAAGGAGGGCAAGCTGGAGACGGAGCAGGAGGCCTTCCTTTATTTACACATCTTGAAGTTGCAAAACAAGTATCAGGAGGCCTGGGAGTTTCTTACCGGCGAGCTGTGCGCTAAATTATATCCAGGTGCACCCGTTAGCATGAAGTTTGAACTGCTTAAGGAGCTGGGCAATTGGCTGGAACTAAATAAGCTGCTACAACAACTTTTAGAAGCCGAGTGAGTGTCAAGTCTTTACTGTTTATGCTTACACACATAGTATATCAAATTTTCTTTAGTCGAGATCGCTGGGACTACTACAAGGAGTATCTGCAGAGTTGTTTCGAGCTTTTAAAGCAGCAATCCGTGGATCAGCCAGAGTCAACATTTTCTCTCAAAACATGTCACAATTTTCTGTTGCACATAATTAAGACGTCGACGCGCAAGACCCGTGGTCCTTATTTGGCGCGCCTAGAGCTGCATCAGCGCATGCGTGCCCAACAGATGCCGGCACAGGAGCAAATCGGTGATTTTGACGAGCTAATCATCGAGTATTTTCACCTTTTTGGCGATAAATCTTGCTGCACCCACGACATAGCCTTATTTCTACCCTCAATCAGCATGGAGCAACGACAATCTCTAGCCAACAAACTCCTCGTGGAAAGCGGCATTAGCTCAAGCTGCTTGCCGCAGAACGTTAGTTCTTAGTTTATTCAAATTCATTGATTAAATTATTTATTATATTTCTTTGCTTGCAGAAGGAACACATGCAGAAGCATATTTGTGCGTTGCAAATTTCACGCATGTGCGGCGTTCACATTGAGCTACCCACAGATCATTTGGTCGCCTTTTATACGGCACTCAAACTGCATTATGAACATGGGCATAGTTCGTTTGGCAGGGAACTGCTGTCTACGGAAATGGGACCCTCAGATCCGTACGCACTGCTGGCGGCAAATGTTATGTTCGATGTATCAAAGCGAGAGAGTAAATCGGAACATTTATTTGAGGCGCTTTGCTTACTACAATATGTGCTACGTAACAGCACCAGTAACTTTCATGTTAAACTGCTTAGCTTAAAAATCTATCACATGTTTGGGTGCATGGTTGGCGCACAGGAAATGTATGACTATTTGGACATCAAACAAATTCAACTGGACTCCATGGGTTATGTGCACTGCAATCTTTTGCCACTATCCGGTCGCTTTTCAGGCGTTCGCAATTGCTACGATACCACATTGAAGTTCTTCACAAATAGCTATAAGGAGCGTCTGGAATATATTTCGTTGACTTATCGCTTCTGTACATTCTCAAAAATGGAGGAGTTTATGAACTTCAAGGAGCGCCTCACTAATAGTTTAATGTATGTGGCCTGCTCGGTGGAGGCGCAACTTTGCGATTTAGTTAGCTGCTATGGAAGCATCCAACAAAATCTGTCGGCCTATATGGCCATGAGCATAGAACCTGCCGAAGATCGTATTTGCTGGAATAAGTTAAGCGATAATCGAGACTTACAGGCAATTATTCGCTGGGATCCTTTGCATCTAGATGACACAGAAGAGGAACGTAAGGAGTCATACGAACAGGAGATTGAGGTGCTGCAAGTCCGCTCAGTACTTCTTCGCTTGTTTGCCTCATTCATTGATCTTTATCATGCGCCACACAGCGCCAAACTGGCTATGTCGAATGACAAGACAGCAACCCCAGCACCGGGAGACGATATAGCTACAGTTGAGCTATTACGCACATCATGGACAGGCCTGTACCAGCGTCTTCGGCTGATGAACTATAAGCCGCTATCGCAACGTTTTCTAGTCAATTTGCTGCCGACTCGTCTTCACCTACTGCTTGAGCTGCCCTATGAGCGTTTCTTTGATGACTTAGCGCAGCTAGTGCTGGATTTGTACAGCGGTTCCTCGCAACTCGCACTACAGTGTAAACGGGTTAGCGAGAATGTTGTTTCTGTCATGGAACTATGCGTGCAGACTATCACGGAGAGCAATGAATGGAATGGCATGGATGGCCTGTGGAAACGCCGCGAACATCAGCAAAAGGTTGCGGCTAGTTTGGAGGTGAGCATAGATGTGGTTCATATATTTAAATTGTTGGAGTTATCCCAATATTTATATTTACTTGCAGATACTCTCACTTTATGCCTTTCTATTATCGGTGCTGAATGACAAGCTGCAGTGCAGCGCAAAGACAAAAGCAAAAAAAAAACCAGCGGCTGATAATAAAACACAGGAACCGATTAGCGAAAAAGAACGTAGTCAAATGCTCCAGGAGCTGATGCGTCAATTGAAGCATAAATTGGAGGCCTGTGATGCGGCCATACGTAAGTAGTTTAACATTTCATAACAACATAATAATCCTACTGAACGTTTTGTTTCTTTAGGCATATGGAAACCACCTACCCTGCCACGTGAACTGAGCTCATTCATGGCCGATATGTCACTGAAACCAGAGGTGGAGGCTACATTAATTAGCGATGTGTCCGCCACATTTAAAGAATCCCATGAGCTGATGGTCACCGAGTTACGTAATTTGTTAAAAGACAAAATACGCATGATTGGAAAATAGGTTTCACACATGAACTGACTTTGCTGTGCAAAGTCTTCGTTTATCTTCCCAAATGCTATACATCATTTCTATCATCCGACGCAGCCTAACCCAATTTGTTATTTAATATTTTAAACAAGGCTATTTATATATGCCCCTCTCGCTAATATAAACTCCACTTTGTCATCTACTTACAATCACCAATCAAATTAGATTCTTGTGCACATTTTGAACTACATATTTTCGGCATTTTTCTACAACAGATAAGTTGTAATCTTGTAACGTGTTCGGTTAAAAAAGAAACGAGAGCGAAACAAAAGTTGAAATAAATGAAGATTAAATCATGTAAATTTGCATTGCTTTAATTCATTTAACATAAGAATACTCCAATACACCCATGAAGAGAGTATTAATTCTATAGTCCGTAAATTCACAACCAATGAGTCGATGGGGTCATGCCGGAATACAGCACTTGGAAGTTTACATTTTTGCAAATACCATTTGAAACGGGTATTTGATCTTTGGACCCCAAAGTTATCCGATATTTCTTATTTTTATTAAATTAGGCACTTGATATACCCTCAGCCGTTTTCTACAGCCGCATTGCTGATGGCTTTGAGTGTTCGTAAATAAGCTCCGGCGCGGGGGTCGTTGATATGCTGTTGCGTCTGTAGGTGAGCAACCAGATTGTGATGACGTGCAAAGCTTTTATTACATAGTCTGCATAGATGGGGCTTCTCGCCGGTATGTGTCTTATAGTGCACTTTGAGTACATTGGCATATGTGAAAGACTTACCACATGTGCCGCATGAATAGGGTCGTTCATTCCGATGGGTGCTATAAGTAAAATAGATCTTTAAATTAAATACATATATCCGTCATTGCCACCTACCGTTCATGCTTGACCAAAGATGTGCGATCCGTAAAGCTGCGCTGACAGTATTCACAGTTATAAGGCCGAGCGCCTGTATGCTGACGTATATGACGCATTAGCTGATAGTTGACATGAAAAGACTTTTGGCATATTCTAAGCAGACAAAAGTGAATAGTAATTAAGAATCCGCTTCTAAGGTCTTAAGTGGCTGAACTCACTCGCATTCATATGGTCGCTCGTTTTTGTGTCTTCGCATGTGCGTGTCTAGCGTGCTCTTGCGCGGATAACTATTGCCACAAATATCACACACATGTGACTTGGCACCAGCAGTCTGCGTGGCCACCGCCTCTTTAGTTGCCACCAACATAAGATTTGTTTTTTGTTCTGCAGCTGGTAGCTCTTCAATTAATTCGTCATTGCACCAAATACCTTCTTCCAGTACTTCCACTTCCACTTGCTCGTATGTTTGTATATTTGGGTTTTCTATCACCTGCTGCACTAAATCCTCCTCTTCCACTCTCAGTTCTTTGCAAATATATTCACGCAGGAAATTATCTGAATGCCGGCAAATCTGTCGAAATTTGTGGGCCAAAGTTAAAAACGCGCGACATTTCAAGCATATTCGGGTAGGTAGCTCAGTTGTGCGTACTACCTGTAATTTACAACATATATTAATAGAGCTTAGTAGTGGAGTAGGATCAAAAATTTACCTTAATGCCACTGCAATTTTCAATTTTCTCGCAAATTGAGAGCCCGTGTGGTGCGTCGTCTTTCTCGTAAATGGAAACCATGTGAGTATCGCTGTCCTGTAAACAAATTCGACAGACGGCCTCAATGTCCATTAACAATTCAGTTGTTGCCATAATATGATAATATCAATTGAGTTTAACTTGATTGGACGATATTTGTGTTTTGAAATACACCATATTTAATTGTTGTATCGCAACAATATAATTATCGTTATCGTAAATTAAATATCGAGGGAGCGCTGTGAATAGTCGATATTGTAGAAAATTCCAAATGATATTAGTTTAGCAAATGCATGTTTCAGTTCTATGTTTTTATATTTCTTAGACAAATATTATTATATAAATAATATTGGTAAAAAGCTTGCACTCTGGTGTAGAGAAATTCATTTTAATAAAACATTCTTTAGTTCCGTTAGAATACCGCATAAATAACAAATGCCGATATCATAAATGTATTTATCGATATACTGCTACATATAAAACAACCCTAATATACCACAACATTAAGGTTGAACAACATGGACGGCGCGGAGGCTCTTTGCAGGATTTGTTTGCTGCATCCCAAAACTGAGACGCTTATGGCCACAGAATCGAATTTCTTCGCACAAATTAAACAATGCACAGGCGTGATGGTGAGCAGTGAAAGTCAGTAGACGTAAAATATCAACTTGCAATAATTGAGTGTCGTATTTTAGTTGACACAAGATGATCGAATGCCAAATAAAATATGCACTAGCTGCGCCTTGCTGCTCCGAGCAGCTTTGAAGCTGCGTAGTATGTGCCAGCAGGCAGAGGAGCAATTGCAAAAAGTGAAACACGAACAGGCACAGCAGCAACTGGAGACGGACAGTGGGAGTGAAACTCCAACGCACTTCATCGATTCGTATGAAGTGACACTAGAAACAGCCAGCGTTACAGGCAGTCAGGACAGCACAGATGTCATAACAATAAAACCTGCAACACCAGCGCGATCAACAATCAAAGCATACAGACCCATCCGTCGTAATCGGACTATCGCCGGAGTGCCACCTACATGTTACCCAGAGGCTACCAAACCTCTGGGTGTTACTTATGTATGTAATATCTGCAACAATGTATACACGGAAAAAGTGAAGCTAACAACGCATCTGAAGCTACACAGCGTGCACAAACCACACGAGTGCGAGTAAGTGAACTAATTGGAAAGCTTGAGTTGAAGGCTTTATTGTGATCTTAAATTCTAGAATCTGCCACAAGCGTTTTCGTCAGACACCACAGCTGGCACGTCACATGAATTCTCACACTGGTCTACGTCCATACAAATGCGATTATTGTGATGCTTCTTTTGCGGATCCTTCCACGCGCATCAAACATCAACGGTAAGGCGCAAGAGTTAACTTATTTAATATATTTTCTATAAATGTTTTAATTTAGCATACATACTAATGAAAGACCATATAAGTGCAAATACTGCCCGAAGTCCTTTGCCTATTCCAATGTATTGAATGTACATCTTAAAACACATACGGGGGAACGACCTTTCAGCTGCCAATACTGCGCTAGACGATTTTCCCAGGCACATCATAAGAACACACATGAACGTTCGCACAGAGCGAACAAAGAACTGGACATTGCAGTCATTACAATGGAAGAAGAGTAATTGCCATTTGGGTTAGAATTTAAACACGCACTTTTTAGTACAATGTTAAAATAAGAGTATAGGTCCTATTTACAATTACAACCAATAAATACATGTAAATTATAATACCCTATACCTCTATATATTAAAAAAATATAAAAACGGTTTTATAATTTGTTTTACAATAATTTGGCGTTGTTTTTGTTTTGGCATCAATTATCCCAAACTGCTTTTAAGGTAGCAATAGTAAAACAATTAGCAACTTATGAAATAATATCAAATAATATATAATTTTATAATTAAATTTTTTGTACAAAGCCTAAGCCGGTGGCAATATGCCAATAACCAACTCGGACACATTATCTTTAATACGCTCTTGCCCCTCCAAATCCAACTCAACAGGCTTCCAGGGTCCACGTTTTTCGTGCGTCACACGATGCAGTCGCATTTTATAGGCTTTGACAAATCCTTTGCCACACAGATCACAACTGAAAAAAGGAAATTATGTCATTTTCCTACTTATGTCTTTGCTTAAGTAAAACTTACACATGCGGCTTTTCACCTGTGTGTATCATCTTGTGAAATTTCAAATTGTCCGAATATGTAAATGTTTTCAGGCAGACATCACATTCATATGGGCGCTCCTTAGTATGTATGCTGTGGATAAAAGCATATATATTTATTTATTTAAAAAAAAATAACCTCAATACTGCTAACCGATGATGTTTTGTCTTGGTGGAACGATCAGCAAAGGCGGCAGGGCAGAAATTGCACTTGTAAGGTCGATTGCCAGTGTGCGTATTCATATGCCGCACCAGTTGTTGGTTCTGGACAAATCCACGACCACAGATCCTAGAAATTGAAAATAGAGTTCTTAAGAACACTACGGTCTTATAACATATACCAACTTACTCGCACTCGTGCGGCTTGACGCCACTGTGGAATTTCATGTGTTCGGTGAGACGTGCCTGTGAGGGATAAATGTTACCACAAACATCGCAAATATAATTGGAATGCTTGTCGCGCGGCTTGCGCCCCATTTTCTTCTCCTCGTGGACACCATCTAATGAGGCCGAAGTCGTCTTGGATCGCAGATGCACTTTCCGTGGCTGTCGTACACGATTTAACAAACGTGGTTGCGCCTTAACTTCGGGCAGATAACTTTCATCATCGGAGCTTAAGATATCATGTTTCATGTCATCATCGGGCACCTCGCTCCATACAATTTGCTGAGTGGCTATTTTGTTTTGCTCTGTACTGCTGCTTTGGGGTAGTGATTCAGATGCCAGAACTTCCAGTTCCTCATAGTCTGCAAAGTTTTCGACCTCGGTTTCCGTCTCAACTTCTGCCTCTGCCACTTCAACAACCGTTGTGTCATCATAGACAACGGTACTTTGTTCCTCCACAGAGTTGGTGGCATCGAAAACAATGGCATCCACATCTCCCTCCCCGTCTTCATCAGCGTCGTCTCCTGAAACTACATAATTTATGAATTCACCGCTTGTTTCTTCGACGTCGCCTTCAATTTTGATTTGTGTCTGCTCTTCCCATGCATGCGCTATAGCCTCATCTTCTGCCTCGTCCTCATTACCCCCACCGAAGCTCGTATCCAATTCCGTAGAAAGCATATCTGCTATATGTTGATGCGAGCGCTGACAAGTCAAGCGGAATTTGTATGCAATACGTAGCACTCGTACGCATTTGCTGCACATCTTGTCCGGAAAGTTGTCATCAATGCTAACCTGCAATGCAATGCGATACAAATTACGTTTATAAAAGTGATGGTTCTCTTTGATATTCTATTGTACGTACAGGGATTCCAGCACAGATGTGGAGCATCTGATCAAGGCGGGTGCTGGCATTTTGGCTGAATATGTCCAGTAATAGATCTTCGCCGTCGTTGGGATTGCTTAGGCACACCCGACATACAATCCATTTTTCGTTTAGTTCGGTTTTCATTACTTCTGTATTTAATTGTAGCGAGGCATACAAATTACAAATGAAACTTATATTTTGGTCAAATTATAACAATAATGCAAGCGTCCCTTGCTACGCTTGCCATTCACTTGCAGACGCGCACACTTACTTACAGTATTTAGTATTTTTTATCACATATACAAGTGTTGCAAATGGAAACCAGCTAATGATGTAAACTGACAGAATTAACAGAACACTTTAATTAATAAAAGAAAATATATAGTATTAAAAAAATCAAATATATTGTGACTTAATTATATATGACTACAGAAAAATACCACATGTAGGATTGCCACGGTCACCTTAATAACTGCCATTCACACAACAGTGAAAACAGCTTGGTTTTTTGCCTTTAAAACATTTTTAACATTTTTTGGCGTCGTCAGAAGCAATTGAATAATTTGTGCATTCCTTGTGGCAATACAATTTTAAACGATGCCAACAACAACGACTGCAACAACACAAAAGTGGATAGTATGTCGCGTGTGCTTGCAGCAACCCAAGGAATCAATGGGCAGCATTTTCAATGACGACGCATCCAAAGATTTGACTAATATGATACTAGAATGCGGCGGCGTACCCGTAAGTTTAAATTAAAGACGCATGTTTGAACAAGTAATTTGAAGTATTTTCATTTTAATACTATGTGTACTGTTTGCAGATAAAAAAATTCGATCATTATCCGGATAAGATATGCGACAAGTGCTTAAAGAATTTACATATTGCATTCAAGTTTCGCCGAGTTTGCCAGCGGTCCTACAAACATCTAAGGCAATTTATAGCGCCTGTTGTGGTAGAGCAACAGTCGGCCGAGGAAGATGGTAATGGGCTCAGTACTAGCCATGACCCATCGGGCATAGAGCTGGGCGAGGGACATGTGCTGGCGGGCAGTGAAGAGACCAATGATGAGAGCGAAGAGGTCAAGGAGAGGCTGGTACATGTGAAAAGCGAGCAGGTGGAAGAGGATGGCATTATAGAGGAGCTATACGATGTATATGAGGCATATGACGGTGACTTAGTCACCGAACAGCCGGTCTACGAGGAGGGTAATGCTGAAGATGGCGATGAGGATATGGGAGCACACTCAATATCGGGTCTGTCGGCCGATATAGAATATCTTGAACAACTGGATCAAGATCAGTTAACAGAAAGCGCTCATGAGGATGAGATAGAAGTGCAACATTCATCTGATGAGGAGTTTCTGCCAGTCAAATCGCGTACGATCTCTACACGCTCCGCCAGTGCCGGCATCAAACGACGTGCAAACACGCGAAAAGCCGCAACAGGGAAAACGGCGTTAAGTAATATTAAACGTGAGAAATGCAGCGTGACCACAACAAACATCATATTAAATCCGGACGAGAGCATCACCTTTGGGGAGACAATTGTGCGCAAGGCTACAGGCATTAAGACCAAAGGGGGACACAAAATTCTCGTGGGCGATAAGAAGGAATTTAAATACATATGCGATATTTGCGGAAATATGTATCCATCGCAAAGTCGCCTCACCGAGCACATCAAAGTGCATTCTGGCGTCAAGCCCCACGAATGCGAGTGAGTATCGTAATAACTTCTTTTCAGTTGGATTTCAAATTAATATTTTATATATTTTCTTTTAGAATCTGCGGTCATTGCTTTGCACAGGCCCAGCAGCTAGCACGACACATGAACACTCACACTGGTAATCGGCCCTACAAATGCACCTATTGTCCAGCAGCCTTTGCGGACCTTTCTACACGTAACAAACATCATCGGTAAGTATTTTTTAAACATATATACATAAATGTACATCCATATGTACTATTTCATTATAATTTGTTTAGCATACACACTAATGAGCGTCCTTATGAGTGCGATGTGTGCCACAAGACATTCACTTACACGAACACGCTGAAATTCCATAAGATGATTCACACGGGCGAGAAGCCGCATGTGTAAGTTGAATCATTTACGCGCCAAAAATATTTTGTTAAAATGCATTTTGTACTTGTTGACAGCTGCGAGATTTGCGGCAAAGGCTTTCCACAGGCTTACAAGCTGCGCAATCATAGAATTACGCACGATCGCCGAGGTGGCGGAGTCAATACCAATGTGGATGAACTGTTTCCCATATATACGGGGGCCAAAACTGGCCTGGAGCTGTAAATGCTTATACACAAACATAAGAAAACATATAAAGATATGTATATAAATATATGTATAAAAATATAACAAGTGGTTATATATAAATGCATATATATAGTTATATATATATATATATATATATATATATATATATATATATATATATATATATATATATATATATATATATATATATATATATATATATATATATATATATATATATATATATATATATATATATGAATTACAATACGTAATTGATTATGAAACTTTAAACTGTAACAATTGGAAATAATTTACGAACGCAGCTTAATTGTGAAGATTGCGTCTAGCCTAAGTTTTAGTCTAATTATGCGGAAATAAATTAAGTATTGCTGCACAGATTGTCTTCGCATCGGTCTCATCAGGATACAGCTGCAGCACTGCGTGCACCTGATGCTGCGGAAATAGACTGTTCAAATGATACCGCAACATATTGCGCTGCTCCTCACGTTTTGTATGGTGAATGTCCTCGTTGATACGCGAATCGGATGCTGACAAATGTGCTAAATTGTGAGCGGGAATGGACAGCTTGGAGGCCTGGTGTTGATCCGTCAATGGTTCGGAGGGTGTGCGAGTCAGATACTGATGTTGATAATTGCCATTGATATTTTTCTTGTTAACCAATTGTTGCTGCTGCTGATGTGGTGCGCTGTATGTGGGCGCCAGTAGCCGAAAGGATGGGGACGGTGCCTGCCTTTGCAGCTTCTTGTGGCGATTCAGCTGCTGCGCCGGCTCTACATCGCAGCTATTGCTGCCCAGCTCCATCTGGTTGTTGAAGGAATGACAAAGCTGTTGTTGTTGTTGCTGCTGTGAGATTTTGTCAATTGTATTCGATTTTGTACGAGCCAAAGCCGCCATTTTTGCATTATTGCTGCTGCTGCCACTGGTAGACAATAGCTGCTGTCCGCCATTGCTGTGAAGTGGAGCACTATGCGAGACTTGAAGTGGCAGGCGCTGCAGCTGCGTCGTTTGATGTCGAAATTTACACTTCTGACCGTATGTGCATTTCTTACCGTACGGACATAATTGTTGCTGTGCGTCCGTCATCTTTTGCTGGCTCTGTGTGCGCAAGAACATGTCCAGGTTGGGCCCGGATCGACCCAGTGGATCATCGGGCGGCATAAAGATGTCATCCACAAAGGAGTACATTAGCAGGCGATCCTGGATAACGCGGCGGAACTCGTTGCTCTCCAAAAGCAAATCGCGATAATTGTCATTGGACACCACAATACCATCCGTTTCCACCGCCAGCTTGAGTATGAAGCGATCATCATAGCATGAAACGCGCTTACCATCCAAATGCCGCGATGGTGTAAATACCAACATCCTTTCTTGTTCCAGCTCATAAAGAATTTCCTGTTCAGTTATATTGTTGTTGGCCAGCTCCTTGCGCCAATTGGGCACAAAAGCTGTGATGTGACGATGGCCGCGTTGCCGGAACCAGTCCACACAGATCCGTATTCCGCGGCAGCTAAAGATACTGTGATTACCGTGCGAGAGGGCCACATTGCTACCATCGATGACGATGTGGCGCAGTGACCCGCTTCCGCTGCTAGCAGGGATTGGCACATGATTGTTGTTATTGCTGTTGCTGTTGGTGACTGTTGGCCGTGGCGCATCTGCCGTTAGTTTGATAAGCTCTGCCAGCAGATCATTTTGTTTAGCCTCTGAACCCAGACGCGTTAGCGCCGTATGTATGGACTGCTCACTGTAGCCCAATTTTTGTGCAAATTCCAGATTCTTGCGCTCCGCGTTGCTCAAGTCATCATCGTCGCTGCTTTCCTGATGCTGCTGCGACGTCTGTGGCTTTCTCGCAGACTTGTTGGCGTTTTGTTGTTGTTGTTGATGCTGTTGTTGTTGTTGTTGCTGGTGTTGGTGCTGTTTTTGTTGCTCAGGCACTTCACAATCCATTTTAATGCGCATTTAGTTTGCTAAGCCTCTACGAACCACTGTTGTCGTATGTTGTTCGCCTATATCGTGCCCTTCTTATTTTTTAAGCAATTTTTGGCGACTTTTGCAACAAGTTCCGTCTTATTACATTTTGTTGTTGCTGCCGAACAGATATGTTATTAACATAACAGTGGCATAACATTAACATGCGCTTAAATGTTAATTGCAGAGAAACACAAACTCTATCGTTTATTCGCTTTATTCGCTTTAATTTATATATACTATTTATGAAATTAAACTGACAATATTATTAACACAATGCTAAATTATTCACGTGCGTACTCATAAATCCAATGGCGCTGAAGCTAAAATTCAATTTTAACAGAAGCTATTAGCTGCATGCTCAAAATCTATCGATATCTAACTCTTAATAACCCCATATTAATCGTTGTACGTTAGTCGTTGTGAAACACAACTGCGCGCTACTTTAAATTGAACTTTTTCAAATGTTAAAATGATAAGAATAAAAGTCACAATTACATTAACCATTCATAAACAGATCTTTATTGTGTTGTATATTATAATATATCATATATCGTTTAAATTTAACAAATTCGCTACAATTCATATATGCAAGTATATAACATTTAGGAGTAATTGTTTTAAACATTTATAGATCTCACTTTTCAAAATAAAGTACACGTTTTTCTCTTTGTTTGTTGTATGGTTTGGTCCCTCTTTTCATGAAAAAAGAGTGCGCTGCATTCTAATTAAACTACTCGTACAGTAAATATATAAATATATTAGTAGTGGTCACATCAATTCGGGTATATAGTATGTATTTAGGTATAGATTTTTGTTCAATAGATTAAATGCATAGAAAACACACGTACTTCAACGACAATAAAGTAATTCATTAATTTTGATAAATTTTTTTGGCAATTAGTGTGACAGCAGCACTAAAAAAGCTATCAAATTGGACGTAAAGTTTACTACTTGTGTCTAAAAACGTATATATAGCTGCTACGACGGGTGAGCTGTGTTTGGGTGTGTGTATGAGTAGGAGCTTGTACGTGGTCCATTTCAAATTGCACAAGTCATTCAGTTTGCACGCAGCTTTACTAAAATTTCATTGCAATGAAAGTATTATGAATGCATTCCCCTGACTCGACTTTTCCTGACACCATGTATCCTATAATTCTTGCTTTCGCGTGCTCAACCAATCTGTTTTTGCTTCTTATGTCTAACATAAAATTGGTGTTTCTTTTGTGTTTGTATGTGCGTTTGTGGGTATGTTGGGATTTCTGCTGGATTTTCTTCTTTAAAGGGTAATTAGTGAAGTTCTTCACGTTGACTTTTATACCACATTTCCAGCGGGCGTCGCAATTTATGTTACGCTCTACTTATTCAAGTCGCATTATCTGATTGCCATGCTGTCCAAGTTTATGTCGCTTTTGTTGCCTTTTGATGCACCACTATAAAGTTAACAAAGTTAGTGCAGTTACAACCCAACAGCAATGTAGGTTTAAGTAATTTAATATGGTTAATAGTTAAACTGTTCAAAATACAAATAATTTATATGTATATGAATAAAAGTTCTAATGAGACGCCTCAAAAAAATTTCTAAGTATTTTTTTTGCAGGCGGTAAACCAAAAATCGTTCCATACTTCTGGGCTGTGCAGTACAATAATTATTGCATACTTTTGTGCGCGATAATTGAAATATCAACAACAAAGTGATTTCTGGATATACAAAATCTTTTACAATTTGATGTTCTATATGAAATTTTCTTTGTTTCCAATTGGAACTATGTTTGGTATTTGAGTTTTTACTTTCTCGCAAGCATCCGACGGTACTCACATATGCCCAATTTTCGGCATTTCCTAATGGACTGCGTCAATGGTTGCCAGAGAGAATTGATGAGCTCCCATCAGGTTACGGTAATTTGTTAGGCTCGATATTATTTGGCTAAACAAACTTTGTCATTAATCAGTTGTTTAATTTTTAAGGGCATGCGACAGGATAACGCCCACTGGCTGGCGAGCGTGTGTGAGACTTTGTTATTCTTTTTTCCTGTTAACAGCTTTTTCTTTTTATTTCGTGTTCCGAGGTATACAAGCCTGTTTATCAGGCCTAAAAATAAAAATACGTTACATGCTTGCCAGCTAAGCTGATTAACATTTAGTCCCTATATGGACTCGAGTGTGTGTGGGTGGCTGGGTGGCTGGGAGAGTGAGACAGTGGGGCAGTGTGTAGGTGTTTTTGTTATAGCGGTTAGAGCCTACATTTATATTCAATAGGTCGGAACTTCAGTTTGTGTTCATTGTGGTCAAAGAACAACCTTTAATGTGCCCCATTCTTACTAATTTCATTTCAAGTTGATTTGGCCATTGAAGCTATCCGTGTTTAACCCACCATCCCCACTAACTCCTAATTTCAGCTCCCGTTTTATTTTCAGACAATTGTTATGCGACGCTTTTTTTATTGTTTCCTCGCGCTTTGTTCGTGTGCATTGCATCCAGTTTCCGTTACTGTTTTTATTACTATAGCCTTGGGCCACCGAAAAAGGGCAAGGAAAAACGAGAAAATAAGAAAACTCACTTCACTCAGTTCGTTTCGATTCGGCTTACACTCTGTCCTTCTGTCTGTCTGTTTGTCTATCTGTTTGTCTGTTTTCCTTTGACGGGGTGTATGCTCACCCGCAGTCAATAGTTGAAATTGGCATCTGCTTCAGCTATATATAGACCACGGTTCATATGGGTGTTACCTTCAAAAAAAAAGAAACAATTCTGCTTTTCCATTTTAATATGAAACTCAAATGAAACGAATTGCGCTGCCTTTAATTAAAATAAAAAGCAGATAAGCTGCAGTCCAAACTTTATCGCTTGTTGTCATTTTATGCGTCACAAATTGGTTGTATCGTGTAGATATATAAGTATATATATAATCGTACATAAAGCTCAATTTAGAATTACAGTATATAGATAAATATATTTATATATGTGCATATGTTGAAACAATCTGGTTTGAATCGTTAATTCTTGCTACGAATCAACCGAAACCTCAACTAAACTGTGTCTGTATTTTTAAAATTATTTGAGACTTGACTTACAAAACTATTGAGAGAGAGACCCAGCTACAAATTCGAATATAACTTGGTCCTCAACTCTTGTATTCATCTAATCATGTTTGACAGATTCTAAAGTGTTTGGGCTGTTTATAAATATTGATGGCTTGCCATATTTTGATATTTAATATACTAGAGCAAAATTAAAAAAAAAAATAATAAATAAAGAAATAAGTAAAATAAAAATATAAATATATATTAAAGTTCAAGTAAAACATATAAACAAATTTAATAAAATAAAAATAAAATTAAATAAATTTGGTATTTCACATTTTTAGTTTTCCTATTAAAAAAATGTTTAAAAACAAAATTTATTAATTTAGATTACAATTTTGAAAAGATTTTTGCACCACTGTGCGAACTGCAAACTAAAATAAGCTATATAAATTTAAGCCAAATTTGGCAACATTTGAAATAAAAAAAATCGAATGAATACACCAAACGCTGCACACAGTACACATGTATACAGATGGGAAAATATTTCACAAAATTTCACTAGTGTTAGCCCGAACGTGAGTGTGTGTGTGTGAGTGTGTGTTTGGGTGTGGGCGTGTAAGTGTGTGCTTTAATTCTGCCGGCTACTGGCTTGAAAATGAACCCGCATCGCCTTCGCCTCTATCGCTCGCGTTTACCAACTTAAGCGTCAACGTCAACATTGTTGCAGTTGCAGCAGCAGTTGCTGCCACGGCTGTCCTGTTGACATTTGACCTTGCCATTTACCCCTTTGTGTGTCGTTTCCTTTTTCATTTTTCGGTTTTAGTTTTATATGTTTTTCGTTTGTTTTGCGGTGTGTGCCCGTTAGGCGTTGATGAAATATTCACGCTTCTTGTGACATTTCTCATACGCAATGTAGCACAGGGCAATCGTGATCAGAACGATTATCGTAATGCCCATTATAATGCTGACCAATATGATTTCGTCGTTGATGCTCTTGTACGAGTGACCTGCACAGATTAAAGACAAAAGAGATAGAGAGATTAAGATTTCAGGACGGCATTGACAAATTGGCCAACATTTGATGTTGTTATTCTTGTTGTTGTTGTTATTGGCTGTCTGTGTGGTGGGTGGAGGCGCAGAGCTTTGGGGCTTTTTATGTCAATAGACATTTCGGCTTGTTAGCTCTCATGCATATTCAGCAGCGACATCAAACAGAAAAACGTTATATGTATATACGTATATCCTGTGACAAATGCATTCTTATAAAAATAAATGATGGCCAAGCATAGATGTACGCATGTTGCAAATAAATAACTGAGATAAATCAAAAACAAAGGACATAAAAAATTAAATTAAATTTGGATTCGCAATTTCGCTTTTATTGCCAGAGATGTATCAAACTTTTACGATTTGTGCATGGATTATTAATGCCTTTATCAACAGTAGAAACAGCACGAAAACAAAAAACAAAGACATGAATAATTTATACATATTTACAATCAAATATACATATTATTATAAATATTCCCTGAAATTATTATTGTGTCATTTGATATATATCTGAAATTTGATTTGATTTTCCTTAGACATATATCCTCTATATATATTATATATTGATATAAATATTCCGTTATTGTTTTTCCAAGAAATTTTCATTTTTACTTTAACTTAATAAATATTTACAAGCCACAATTTAGATCGAAAAATATACCAAATTTTTACACTAAATCGTTGAAATGAAATTTTATATATTTACTAGCAGAAAAAATATCAAATTTTCCTTTACATTTAATTCAATAAATTTCAAGCTTTTCCAACTTTTCCTAAACTTGATTTATTTTCAATATTCAGGACAAACTTTTTTCCCTCGCAACTTTTGATGGAATTTGCCTAACTTATATTCAATGTTATTAGCTTAATAAACATCGTGCAATATAAACATATAAGCGTCGATATTTTCTATGGCGTCGTCTTTTTGGTAAATGGCGGCCTTTTTTATGCGCTCCATTTAGCCAAGATGTTTGCTCTCTGCGTAATTTAACACATAATCGATGAAGCTTGAACCTCCCTCGGCGCCCCATCTCTTACACCTCTTGCAACAGAATATTAGGGCAAATTAAAATCTTGATTTTTGTTGGCCAAGCAACCGTTGCGTTGCGTTGGATCTGTTAATTAGATGCCTCAAATTACTTCGCTAAGTTGAACTCAAGTCGGCTTTTAACGATCTGATGACAATGTGGCCTAATAAATTGAATTCAAATGGCATAGCTAATGTGCGATTGTCCTTTAACCAGGCTAATGGCATCTCTACCACCTGCCCCTAGATATAGGCAATGCTTTTTGTTTGTGGTACGTAGCTTGCCTGCTGATAAAAGCTAAAGTTGAATATGAATTCAAATAATAAGAGACTAAAATTATTGACATCCGTAGATATTGGTATATATTTTGCTAAATATATAGCATAACTTAAATCGTAATAAACATCTGACAAAGTCTTTTCAAAATTACGCAATTGCAGAAAGATTGAATTAAAATGTTGCGCAGAGTTCGTTCTTAAAGGCAATTCAAGTGAAAGCCTAATTAAAACAAATATGAATTTTAAATTAAAATGAATATGCTCTGCTGAAGCCTAAAGAGAGGGAAAAAAATATATATTTATATATACATATATGTATTGTATTGTATCGAGAGGTTTGTTCGGTCACACTCGGTTAGTTTTTAGTTTATGAAAAGTATTAAAACCAATTTCTTGTGTGATCCAAAAAAACAGAAATAGCAAAAACAAACAGTTTGCTCAACTTACACACAAATGCCCACAGACCAGGCCAAATAATTTATAGAATGTCCGGGCAAAAAAGTTTTAGCTGTCAAAATGTAAAATTGTGACATAGACAAAATAAAAAAGAAATGCAAATGCCGTAAGCAAACCCAAAAAAAGAAGCAAAATTGAAAACTAAATGAGAACTGGCATCCAAATACCGCAAGCGAGCAAAGCATGAATTGTTGAGATTTACGAGAGGGCGAGAAGAGAGAGAAGCGAGAATGAGGCAACGAGCTGGGTCTAAATTTTGGCTTATTCTATTGGGGCATGTAGCAAGGCCTTTCGTATTAAGTTCTCCTTATTGTTTTCTGCCAATAAAGCTATTTGTAGTTGTATTATTATTATTATTATTATTATGAATGTTTCTGATATCTGTCAGAACAATAACGTTTTTTTTTTTGGAGAGAACAGAAGGACTCCTTGGGGGCTTTGTGGCCAGCATTAAAGAATTTGCAGAAATGCTCAGCGTGATTCGCTCTGATTGAAGCTTTGTGGCAAAAAGGAGATGCTAACACACATATATACATTTTCATATACATATGTAGATAGGGACACAAGCTGTGTAGAGGGCGGCTCAACGTGGATTACTTTGCTGCCACTTCAGCATTCCATTCAAAACCCTCAAACCAGCCGACATCTTGACTTTAGCTTTAATGTCTGTGAAGCTTTAATTTCAATTTACCTTTCATACATCTTGTCTGGGAAGTGTGAAAGGAAATTGTCAATTATTTAACATCAAAGCGACGTTGACTGTGACATCAAATATGCGAGAGCTCGCGGCCTTTCAATACGCGGGCATAATTATAGTTTAGCATATCGAATGGCATGACAATTTGCAGGTTCAAGATGTGGCCTAATAAACAGCTTGCGGATGTGACCCGTAGACTATTAAAGCAAGTTTAGCTCGGTTTTGACTGAATTTCATATTACTTCAAAGTTGACATATCGAAAACATTTGTTATAAATTGACTATTGTGGGTTTAAGCAACTTTTATAAAAAAGATTTTTGTAAAAATTAAACATTAAAAAGAAGGAAAAATTATTATGGCTGAGTATGTATTAGAGTAAAATGAAATGTCTGCAATTATTTATTACGCATTTGTTTTGCACCCAGCGAAACGAAAATCTCGCCATGTCAGAGTGTTAAATCATCTTGTAAATTTCATTGGAGAGGCAAGCTATCTGTTATTGTGCCCTTGGTAACTTTGCCAATCCTTGTTCATGGATATGTTCACACTGCTTCAGTAAGTAGACGGCATTCTGGTCAGTCTTAAGAACTTCATATTCAACTAGCCCTATCATGAAGGAGTATAAGTGCTTGTACCTGCTAGTGAATATGGCAATCTTTTGGATAACTGAATGTATACCACTTTATTTAACGTCGATGCTTCCGATAGTATTTCTGCCTCTATTTGGTATATTGGTACGTATTAACAGATCAGCGTATGCCAAATGGAAATTACATAATAGATCTTCATAGGACTCAAATACTGTATGCCGTTTGTACTTTTCAGAAAATTTAGTAATGTTCTTAAGTGGGATCTTTATAGCACTAGCCATTGAATATAGCAATCTCCACCATCGCATTGCGCTGGGCACTATTCTCTTAGTGGGTTGCGGCCCTCGACGGTAACAGTTGCTATTGCCTCAGAACGGGCTATACCACGAATAAGACTCGTAATCATTCCATATCTAACAGCATATTTATTCATTTTACGCAGCTTATTTTTCGGTCTGCTCATGGTCACCTGTTTTATATCGATGTGGATATCGAATTCAGCTTCTACGGCCATGATGTGTCCCATTGTCAAGGCTATTCTCAGTGAAATGGCAGCTGTAAGTCATATTTCGTCTAATCCTATAGCCGCAATCACTGTAGTTCGAACCTTACGATTGATATAGCAAAATATATTTGATGTGTTTATGACACAAGAGGAGGAGTACGTAGAAGAGGGCGAGTAAGTAATCAACATACATATATATTTGTATTTATAGATATATATATATATATATATCATAATTCCTATTACTCTTGGTTAGTCCGCCGCATCCCTCAATGATAGCGATTGGATTCTATATCGGTGTCGCGTATGCTTCCACAATTGGAGGCATTGGTACGTTGATTGGTACCGGCACAAATCTGACCTTTAAGGGCTTATATGACACGTAAGCAATACTTAAGACTTGATTTTGAATCTTTGTTCCCTATTCTTGGCTTTTTACAGACGCTTTCCCCATATCAAGGAAAAGGTCGACTTTTCCAGTTTCATGATGTATTCTTTGCCGTTCGCCTCAATTTTAAATGTGATAATTCTGTATTTTACTATGCAAATAACACATATGGGCTTGTGGCGGCCGAACAGTATGGTGGGTCAGCAAATTAAGCGTGGTTCCATGAATAAGGCTGTATTGAAGGAGTTGCTCCAGGAACGATACCGCGAATTAGGTCGCTGGACTTGCCATGAAATACAAGTGGGCGTTGTTTTTATATGCATGATTCTGTTACTGTTCTTCCAAAGCCCGGGCTTCATGAAAGGCTGGTCTGATCTGCTCAATGCTAAGTAAGTCTACAAAGCTAAAAGCGTATATTAGTTGGGGTCGAATGCCCGTCTGTCCGTTTGACAAAGTCATTGGCCATATCGGCAATATATCTTTCGTAGAATCTGAACAACTAAATCATGATATATAGCTAAAAATCATAGTCTCGAATCTTGGTACATTTAAAAAGTTAAAAAGTTAAGCGCAAAAGATGAATAATAGATTTACTAGCTAGAACATCGAAATTTGTTGCATTCAACTCTTTTGCCATCCATATATTACAATCAACTACCTCATCCAATCAGGCATATCGGTGGTGCCACTCCAATATGTCTATCAGTTCTTCTGTTGTTTGCCCTACCCACACAGTACGCGTTCTTCAGGTACTGCTGCCAAAGTAAGTTGCAAACTTCCATATGAATTAATGTATCTGAAGTAACTTATAAATATATTTCCTAACAGCTCCTCCTTTCACTGGGCGCGCCATGGATGCTTGTCTCTCCTGGGCGTATCTTCAGAGAAATACCCCTTGGGGCCTCTGTTTTTTGCTTGGTCGAGTTATATCTAACTTTTTTTTATATATATATAATGACAATTGTTTTGATTTAGGTGGTGGCTTTGCACTTGCTGAGGGCAGTAAGGTTAGTGGAATGGCCAAAATGCTGGGCGACTCATTGTCCTTCATTACCGGCATGCCATTAATGGCCTGTGTGGCTTTTACTATTGTAGTTAGCCTTATCTGCACGTGCGTCACTGCGAATGTGGCCATTTGCAACATACTGATACCTGTATTCAGTGAGATGGTAAGTAACCCAAGATATTTTGAGATCCTGCTATTTCAATTGTCTATGCCACAGGCCGTTACAATTAAAGTACATCCCTTGATGCTGACTCTTCCGGCTGCTCTGGCTATCAGCACATCCTTTCATTTGCCGGTCAGCACGCCCCCAAATGCCATTGTGTGTGGATACGCCAATATCAAAACAAAATATTTGGTAAGCTTACACTAGATTGATCTCACCTAACTCTGTACTACTTTCGAATTATCCACTTTTTTAGGCGGTTGCTGGCATTATACCAACCATCAGTTCATTCATTTTAATATTTGTTAATGCTATATCGTGGGGCCAAGTGGTCTATCCCACAATTAATCAGTTTCCGTCTAGTCAATATTTAGAAAAGTAATATAAAAGAAATTCCAAATTGACGAAATTTTCATCACTCAGTTGCACTTTTATAATTTATAAATATATTTTTCTAAAAGATACGAATAAATATATGTAATAAATGTATATTGAAACACTTGAGCTTGCTCAAAATTCTGTTTGCACAACCGAAAGCTCTCAAATTTCTCTTGTCACAGCGCTTTATGAAATATTCATTTTAAAAACGTGTTGCACACTTTTAAAGAATTTAATCCGAAAGAAATCCACTTTGTATTGAATTGAGTTTGTAAGTAAATAAATGAATAAAATCAAGCGAATTTGTTGGCTAAACAATGGCAATAATAATGAAGCATATGCAGCCAAAGCCATTAACACGCCAATCCCAATAAAATTGTTATTTATTTTCAATTATATCGACAAATCCCGAACTTGTTTTATGCCCATTTTATGCTGTTTACCAACACTGCGGACATGAAGCTCACTTTAACAAGTTTGTCCTTCTTGCCACACCCACGCACACAGCAGCTGCCGTGACAGGTGGTCTTTGTGTGCGGATTTTCGGCACATTCTAACAGCATAATATATACGTATATATTTATTGCATTTATCTGGATCACAATACATAATTCACGCACAATTTGTGGCAATCAAAAACTATGATAAAGTTATACATAAGAGCACAAAAGCAGCACCAAGCCCAGGCGTCACACAAAAACTGTCTTACGTACGTAAGTGCTGCCAGCGGGTGAGCCGGAGGCGTTCATAAGGGCATAAACCTACTTAAGATGGCGAGTGGGCGTGGTTAGGCCTTGTTTGGGGCTGGGAAAACAAAACTTTATGCAAACACAGCAAAAAGTCGTATGCTGGCATGGCTTCTTTACGCTCATTCATAGAGAATGCCTATGTAATATTTATCTCTGGAGCTTTGCTTTCTTTCCCTGTTAGACTAGACTTATTCTGCAATCGAAATTATATGTGGGACCAACAGTAAATGATATGCAGTTCACAAGGTAGCATAAAACCTACATAAGCCCCAAATACACATTCTCAGTATACACACACACACACATATATATATATATAAATATATATATATATGTATATATATATATATATAAATGTATGTATGTATGTATATATGTATATATGTATATATGTATATATATATATATTACACTCGCACTGAAGCACACTTGTTTACATGAATGCGAAACGCAACAAAACAGAAATGTAATAAAAACGCGTCAGGGAAAGTGGCCAAAAATAAAAATAAAATATAAAAAAAATGAAAAAGAAGGAATACATAAAAACACGCTATCGTGCAGTGATTACTGTATAGGATGCCACACAGCGGCAGTTCATCAGCTACAACAACAGCAGCAACAGCCGCCAGGATGAGGACTCAGACGTCAAAACGTCGCCGCCGGCTGATCCACCAAAGCCACCAAATGTTGTTGCTGATGCTCTCAATGAGTAGGACAATGGCCCTATACGTAAGCCTCCATCAAACGCGCTACGCAGCAATGGTATGAATTGAACATCAAGAACAACAAGAAGCAAACAGCGTAAATAACATAAAAATCAAAAAAATAATGTGAGAATGGTAGATTATCTTGATTACAATCGATGGTAAGGGTCCCTAAAGTCAAGTAGTTACTTAGAAAAATGCACAAAAAAAATTAAAAACTTATATAAAAAGTTTTTTATTTAAGAAAATATTTTTGCTTGAACATCTCTCAAAAATCATTAATCAAAACAAAAATAAAATGAGGCATGTTTTTATAAAAATAAACCAAAATATAATCATTTATTTGTTGATTTAAAAATATTTATATCTATTTAAAAAATATGTTTTATAACTAATACACCTTTCCAGGCAGTTTGTACCACTGTGCCATATGGACAGTGGCAAACTAATGAAGTTGTCAAATATTATGTGCGGTCGCCTCTAACTGTTTATAGCTGTGTCTGTGTGTGTATTTGTTTGTAAATGCGTAAGCCACTTACTACTGTAATAATTGTTGTCTGAATAACCGTATTTTCCGGCTGTCCTGCCGCCGCCCGCCATCTTGTTGCGCTGCTTTGTTCCACTTGGCGTGTGCTTATAATGCAACTTCCGGTCAATCTGGTCGTGGCCCAAGCAGAAGTCTTCGAATTGGTTGAGCTCGTGATCTGCTTATGTTGAGGTTTATGAGCTGTCAAGTAGAAAAGCAAACCACATTGCAATTTATATAATGTAACAGGCACATACAAAGCTCTGAGTGTGTGTGTGTAAGTGGCTGTTTGTAAGTGGCTGTGTGTGAGTTCAATTACAACACATCAAATCACAACATACACGGGGCACAAGAAAATTTGCAAAAGTCACGTTACGTATACGCCGCGTCAGCCGCGTTTTAATTATGAAACCAACACACACACTGTGCCACACTGCCTACGACCTTGTTGTGTAATTATGCATATAATTGTGCATGTACCCATTTAATATTAACGAAATTGTTCGCACTTTCAGCGTGCAGCAGCAGCCGCAGCAGGTGCCACGACCCGCAGCAGCATCTGGAGAACGCAGATAGCAGCTGAAGTAAACGCTCAGCATCAAATAAATTGCGTTCATTTTGTGTAATTAGTGTAAGTAGCTTTGGTTCCTGCTGATTGTGTGTGTGAATGAGTGCGACTATGCCTTCACCTCAAGTCCTCAGTCGATGGGGCCCAACGTACGAAGCAATTTACGAATTGCATTTTGGCCAAGTTTTGTGAGCTGCATATGGTATATGTTGTACATTCACTTTGCTGTGCTCCATTTGAGCTCGCATTGTTTGCTTGCCTCGAGCCGTGGCAAGTTAAATGAGTACGAGCCATGCCATGCCATGCATTTGTAATAGAACCACATTCCGATTACATGCTGCCTACGTGGCATCCAGACGTGCCGCAAACTTTCACCTCACATGAGACTGGCAATTTGCTAAAACCAAAATCTATAAATTCTCTGGAATTACCTGTACGAATACCCTTTGACTTTATGAGCTTGAGTTTAATTAGTATTTGTGGACTATATTGCAGAATTTAGGATGACTTCTCAAAGGGGTGAAGTTTAGTGGCATGTTGCAGTAGCAGTTGGAAGAAAGAATTTTTCAACTATTAAGATGCATCATAACTGCTAAGGAAAAAGCTTTAAGCTTTTAAGATATAGATATAATATAATATATAATATAATATAGATATATATACAGGTACTGCTATACTAAAATTTAGTCGGAATATATTATAAGAGTTAAGGCAAGACTGCATTTTTATATTTGCATATTTTGGTAGCACATTACAGCACAGTTGCTGCAAAAAGTATGCGGCAGGTCTGCTATATTTATACAATGTATACGTCATATGCTATTTACAGGGTAAAGCCTTAGTTGCCATCTCTTAGCTTGACCCTTTTTTTCGTTATAAATTTCAATTTAAGCTTTAAGCAAATAAATTTCGGTTTTATATATTTCACAGCGGACTAATATTTACATTTAGAATTCTATTAAGGAATATATATATTTTATGCTTTACTAGTTTTTATTAATTGCAAGTTGCGAGTACTTTTGCTATTTGTCTTCAAAGTGCAATTAATTGTTGAGATTAACTAAGCATGCCTTAATAAAGTGTAATCGTTTAATCCTCTTATTAATTTGAAAGTTTTTGTATTTTCGTTATTAATGATGAACAAAAGTTTTGCCATAAGCATTAATTGCTGCTGCTTAAAGCGATTTATTATCACTTGGGCGGGTGCACGCACACCCATGCTCCCAAACAAAACTTAAGAACTTTATCTTAAATAAATTCAGTGAGCTAGCCGAGCGCACTTTGTGAGAAGCAAAATGCAGCTTTAATTTATAAAATTCGCACGTTTCCACAGAAACTCAATTACAGACTCAAAAAGGCAAATCTTACCGCTCAACTTTGATCTACACACACACAAACACCCACACATATAAACATCTTCACATACATACATATATTCTTACAGAGAATTCTAATAAAAGTTCAAGCTTTGAGCTATGTGCGGGGCACTTGTCAGCTTGCTTGTCATTTTTCAAATACAAATAAAAGTAAAAGCAATAAAAAATTTTCGATTGGTTTGGCAAATATTTTATGTACTGTATTTAACTACCTGTCAAAAGTTTCGAGAGATTGGTTGTTAAAAGTTCAACAAATTAAAAAATAAAGAGATATTAATTTGCAAAGCAAAGTCAACTCTGATAGTTTTATTTAAAGTACTGCAAAGTTCTGAACAAGTGCAAAATAATAAAAAGTTCTTAGTCAGTATATCGATTGAGTTTCTAACACGGAATTTGGTTTAAACTGAACCCCTAACTAACTAAACTAAGCAACCAACATCGAAACAGAAAACAAAGCCACAGCTAATTTGCCAACATGAACTGCACAGACAAACCAAAAGTTAATGAAATTATGAAACCAACTTGCAGACATATTGGACCGAGTAAGAGATTAGCACGAGAGGTGAAGAAGGGCGAATATAAATGGGCTTTAGAGTCCAGTCAGTACTTCTATACTTAGGGAGCGCTCAGGCGAGGAGTTAATTAGATAATAAACCAAATTTAAAATTTAATTTAATAAGGAACCACTTTTCAAATTCTAAACTATAGTTGCTGCACATGAGAGTAAAGTTGTAGAAATTTATAAAAAGGTAAATCAAAAAATATTTTACATCCCCATATCAATAAAAGTTCAGAACATATTCAAACATCGCCTCGTACGTAAACTGATATGAAATATTGCTAAAATCATTTTCAATAGTTCAATCAAAGTTTAGTTTAGAGTAGAGTAAAAGTTGTTTATGCTAAACAAAAGGATTGATAACATATTGATTGAGTGGCACCTGGACTATTTGATAGATAAGTAACCCCAATTCAAATGATTGGGCAAGCAATAGTTAAAGTTTAACGAATATGCAAAACAAGACTTCAAAGAAAACTGAAAATATGAGCCAAAACTTTTAGCATACGTGCACGAAAATATCATAAATGGGAATATGGACAGCTGTGACGGAGTATGAGAGCCATGCTTGGGGCCGTGCGCACGATGATGATGATACCCATCAGTGTGTGTGGGTGTGTGTGTGTGTGTGCAATCTGCGGCACTTATATTGGCAAGGAGGCAAAGGAGTCCCCGAGGCCAGTTAGGCAGGGGCATGGTCGACTGCTCGCCGTGCGAAACGCGCTCGGTTTTGTTTTTCGGCTCCAACCTGGTTGCGGTGAAGGTGTGCGTGCTTGAAGACAAGTGTCAGCGTGTGTTGAACAACGTCCAACAGCACTCCAATCAAACACGAGAACACGCTGTTTATGAGTGTCTGCCTGTGTGTATGACAGAGAATAAAGGAGATGCTATCAGTGTCCAGTGGCTGTACCTCCACTTAGATACTCCATAGAACGCCCAAATAATGCACCAAAAAAGGAAAAAAAAGAATACATTAAAATTGTCGCCTCTATTTCAGCTTGGATTCTCTGCCAAGTGTGCGTGTTTGTGCATACGCAGTGAATGTGTTCATCTGTGTGTGTGTGTGAGTATGAGTGGCTGTAGCCATGTCCCATCCACTACAACAAGCTTTTCCGTATCGCCACAACCATTGGGTTGGGCATGGCATTTGCGCACGAGTGGCCCATTGTCTAAATTATTTCTATGGTGCAAAGTTTTCCATTTGCCGCTGAATTTGCGTGGTTGGCCCGGAACTCGATGCGCAGGACTTGGCACCCGGTTACGGTAAAGGCGTTTTCAAAAAAAAAAGAAAAATAAAATATGAAGAAAAAATATGTAAACAAACAATGCATCAATTTAAAGACGCACGTTTTACCCCCCTTTCGTCAAAAGCTGTGATTCCTTGCGATTGCCCCTAATTGTAAGTCAAGTCAGTCGCGCATACGGCAGCAATAGCTCAGAGGCACAAGAACAAATGTATAAATATATACAGAGACGAGTACGTATATATATATATATATATATATATATATATATATATATATATATATATATATATATATATATATATATATATATATATATATATGTATAAGCTCTATACTGTATGTTAAATAATGCGGTGCTAATAGTCTCTGTATTAATAAATCGCTTTAAATATTTCAAAATTAATCTATGTGAGTGTGTTTATCAAAAGCCTCATTCAGCATATTCAAGAAATTGTTTACTTTAAGTATACAGATAGCTGAATATTATTCAAATATTATAGTATATACATTTTTAGCAACTTTAATATTATAATGACACATAGACAGAACGAAGCTAAGCCTTTGCATGCTTAGTTTAACATCTCACAAAGCAAAACTTTCTATATTTCTATGAAGCTTGCCATAGACACAACTTAAAATTGTTGCTAACTTTGCTGAAAAGTTTAAGCATATAGAAAGTAGTCTTATCATGTATATTAAAATAAATATATATATAGAAATTTGTTGTACTTTTCTGTAATGTGCAAAATGAAAACAAATTATTTGCATATGGAAATTAAACAAGGAGGAAACCTGGAAAGGGACGAGCATATAAAAAGCTTAAACCTCATTGCTAGTTTTTAATTACGAAGCACAAAAGGTATATAATTCAGGTTAACTATGAACTTCACTGCAGTCAGTTAAGTAAAAAATATTTATTTTCCCAAATCGATTCCATGGTCGAAATGATTTTTCATGATTTTCACTCCTGATTTATTCAACTGAAATATGATATTTCAGCATAGTTTTATTTGAACGCCAATTGTGAGGCCTGATTGGAACGAGAACAAAATCGTATTTAATATGAAAAATAGTCTAAAAATTGCCGATCTAAAGTCATGCAAAGTCATTCGTTTCGACCTATAAGCATCCTGTAAATGTGTTACACTAAAAAATATTATAAAATAAACTATAGTTGCAGTTCTTCCCAGTTGGAAAGTTATTTGTATTGCTATTCTTATCAAGCAAGCATCATATTTAATGTCCAAAATCATTTAAATCGGCTTCAACTTTTGATTCTAGAATATTCCACATTATAGAACGTCATATATATGTGTGACCAACAGTCAATTCTGAATATATCTACGTAAGTGTGTTTCTAATGAATTTTGTTCTCGCAAGTTATCTAATTTTGTAGCATACTTTCAGGCGCGTCGCTACGTCGTTATGGTAACGGATTAAGCAAAATGTCGGACAGGCGAGCAGAGCAAATGGCCACAAAACCAAAAAGCTAGAAGCTACCATCAAATGAAAATTGCACAGAACTAAAAATAATATTTTTCCTTTCGTTAAACAGTCTGAAAAGTTATGTTTGAATTGTTAGCCTAGAGTTGAATCTCTACTCATGAAAATTGTAATAATATTTTCCAATCTGTATTAGCTTATAGAATAAAGTATTAACAAAAATCCCAAACATAAATTAAAAAATAAAATACAATAAAAATAATTAATTTTAATTCAAGTTCCCGAAACGCTTTGTGGTGCGACTCGTAAGCCAAATCAACGACAGTTATGATTATATTTTATACGTTACATAAATTTCTATTAACTGAAGCTTTCATAAGCCAGTTACAAATGCGCATATAGTTCTTAAGCCATTAATCATTGGAGCATATATGTGCGATGAGCATAATAAATCTTTCAGTTGTCAGGCTAAATATTTAAACATAATTAATCTGAGTTAGCAAAATGCCCACAGAGCGCACCTTCCACCTTGGCCCCAAAATTGAGCCCAATCCAGTTGAGACCGAAACACTTTTAACACTTTGCTGCATCTATTAAATGCCCATATTTTAACGCATGCTAATCCCTTGTATACACCAGGGATTGTCGACCTTTCCAACTGCCAGTTAGGATTAGTGTCTGATTCGCAAACTCATGTCAGGCATAATTGTAAGTCCCGACGAGCTTTTAATCCCACTTTAACTTACTTTCACTAATGCACAGCACTAAAATAACTGTAAACTATTGTCCCAAAAGAGCAAAACTTTATATCTGAAATTGTATACTTTAAATAATATAAAGCAAATGCACATTGTGTGTAGAAAAGGTAATAAAATTTATATTGCATATATAACTAAAGTCAAGGATGTTTTAGCAGAAAAATATTGTTAAGTTTAAAATCATTCATGAATTTAATAAATATATAAACCAGATAATTCAAGGTCGAATGCAAATCAAATTATGATAATATACCTAAATCAAATATATTAACAACCGCTAAACAATTTCGTTGTCAGTCTCTTTTAGGTCGTCCCCTATTTTTTATGGTGAATCATAAAAAACAGCGTAAGATTTCATTGAAACGTAATGGCTTATTCATAATATGCAAATGGTTCGTCATAAAAGTAACGTTAAATGCTTTAAGCAGTTCCCACGTTTCGCTTTTATCAAAATATGTTAAATTCGTGGGGGAAAATTTGCTGAGGCCAATGTGTTAAAATGCGCATAAAAAAAGTTTTACTTTATGCATCAAATTGAGCCAAGGAAAATAGTAAAGAAAAAAAGAAACTCAGCATTATTTAGTTTCGTTGACTCGAGCCTTAAACTGAACCTGAAAGCCATGAAGTGGATTTGGAGAGAGATTGATGTGCGTGAAATGAACACGTAAAAATGGATTGCAAATTGGCTGTTCGTTTCCGAAATACCCTGTAAAAGTTTTGTATGTAGTGTATTATTTCCGATAACTTAATATTAGCTAAGCTACTGCTAAAGCAGTTTTTATATTTATTTATGCAGCTAGGAAACATATTCACGCTGATATTTAAATGTAATAACATTTTGAACTCACTCGAAATTGCGAAATTCTGAGAAGCATTTCAGTAAATTATTTCTATGAAGTGTAAAAACAAAATACACACAAATTTGTATACATATATATGCAACATAATGTAGCAAAAAGACCTTCAATTTTCTACCAAACATTATATCTTAAGGTATATACAACTGTGCGTGGGATTTTTGACATCGTATTAAAATTTCCGTCGTCAACGTTCAATAAAAATTATAGCAATACACTTTACACCTTTTTGTCACGCAATAAGATAAAAGATACAAGAGATAAAATAAGTAAAAGGCTCTTTGAATTAGGTGATGCGTTTAGCCTGAAAACCCGCCATTTATCTGGGCTGTCAGCTGGCAGCTGGCAAGCTTTAGGTGACTCCATAATTGATTTATGTGGTCCATCCATATGGAGGTGGTTTCTGGTAGCTGTAAGCTGTTAGCTGTTAACTGATCCTGGGTTCACACTAGCACTTATCCCGTGCCGTTAGTTGGTTTAAATCGTAATGAAGTTTTGTTGTCTGGCGGCCATAAAACGCCTAATTTAAGCAGCAATTGAATTTAATTGCGAACAGTTGATCAATATGCCCGCAAATAGCACGCAGCTCGAACTCTGGACGGTCCTTTTGTCCTAGCAGCTGCCTTTGTTTGAGCCGGAGCTAAGGCAGTGGCCAAGATAAACAGTAAAAACAGGCGACACAAAAGCGCGCGAAATCACACAATCAACTACACACGCACACACTAATAGAGCAATACGCACTCACACACAAATATGCACAAACAGCGTGAGTGAGAGACAGCGAGAGGACTCCGGTCGTAGCACTTTAATGTGGCGCCAAATGAAGCGGCTTCCACGTCCACGTCGTCTGGCTTGTTGTCAGGATCTGTTCAATGCGCGACCGTCGCAGCGGCGTCTGTGCCATCTAACGGTATTTGTTGTACTGATTGCCCAGCACTGGCTGCCAGATGAATGGACCAAAAAATTGCCAAACAACTTCACATTTGTCGGTGCAAGATGCGAAAAGTTTGCGCGCGCCCCATGGACAAAAGCATCACACCAACACATACACGCACACACACAACGCCACTCACACCCTCACACTCACGCAGCGCTTGGAGCTTTTACTACGCGACGAGCTTTTGTGAGGCTTTTCTTTTTGCCCATTCCATTAATAAGCTTCCTTCAAAAGTCAAAGTGCTGTATCAATTCGCATTTGCTTCCAAATTTTTATATCTGTTGACTAATATAGTTACTATTATTGTTATTATTAGTCTAATGAATTCTATTATTATGAATTTTTTTAATTTTAAAATTAATATTTTACTTAACATAAATATATATATATATATATATATATATATATATATATATATATATATATATATATATATATATACATATATATATTAATTTATATTTTATAAATGTAGACTGCTAAAAACATCTTGCCCATTAATATTTACAATATTGTTTCAATAATTTTAAGATATTTTTTATATTCTTTTATTTTAAATATGTATTCTTTCGAATCTGTATGTATATATAAATGCAATGTATATATATAAAAATATAAATTTTTTGTCTTAAATTTCTTTACAGTGGCACGAGTGCCAAAAATGTAAAAATTTTCTGAGCTTCTATTAGTAATTTAAACCCAATCTGAATGTAAAGTGAAAAATCTTTTATATTATTTATTTTTCTTTTATTGTTATATTCTTATTTCTTTCTTCCTTAGTCTTTTCTAGATATTTCAAAATTTTTAAACTTTGTTCATAATTAAATACGTCAAAGCCACATTGAACACAGTTATGAACTTTCAGTAGGAAATTTCAATTACTTTTTACATTGTTCTAGATTTGTACACAATCTGAAGCTGTCTATTCACTGATATACATAACCAATTGAGCTAATATGAATATGCTAACTAGGCGTAAAATTTGCTTATTTGTTGCGACTTTGGAGCCAAGTGAAAACGCTCTGACGTCGAATCCATTCAGATTTGTTCAAAACGTGATGCGTAGCAACGAGTGTGTCTATGTGTGCGTGTGTGTGTGTGTGTTTGCGTGTGTGTGGGTTGATGGGGATTATCAGTAAATGATTTGCTAAACAAGGCAGATGATTTAATTGAATTTTCAGAGCTATAGTTCAAAACCGTTTGGCCAGAGATTAGAAAGAAATAAAAATAAAAGGCAGCTGTGTCGGGGTAAAAATGGAAAAAATGAGATGAAGTCATCTTCTATAATAGATCAACGACGTTGTAAGCGAATCCTCCCCCGGGCAACAATCTGTATGCGATGTGCGTGTTATTTAAGACAGATTGTGTGAGGGTTTACTGTATGTAAATTACTTTATTAAATATTTTAAAATTAATAATTACAAAATATATTATCATTATATATGTATTACATATTTGATGGGGCATAATGTTGGTTGGGTAAGGGGCTTTTAAGAGAGGGGCGTGTTTTGTATTCTGCTGCAGCACAACTTAAAAATATCACACACAAATACCACGCAAGAAATGAAAGTTTGATGAGTTTTGTCATCGTTCTAAATCTGCGCACTGTCAAAACTGGGACTGGGCTCTAGCATCTATGGACACTCCTTGTCGCTGATCTTCTGAAAATCTAAATGGCAAATATATACATATTATGTAATACAGAATTTATATTCATTATAATATATGCCAACTCACTTGCATTCTGGAGGCAATTCTCGGTTTTCATAATACAAACATTGCGATACGTTTTGGTGGCTCCTTTGTCATCCGCCGCGCATATAAATTGATTCTCCTGCGTATCGCACTCCATGTTACACTTCACATTCGGATCGGGCAGACTGAGGCACTGCACCAGTGTTAGCGCATATAGCGTCACTATAAATAAACACAATAGCCATAATAGTTAGTTAAGCAGAACACACAAACAAGTAAAAGTTGAAGAAGAAGAAAAAATCTCTGCCTGGCAACATGCTCTGCATACGAAATGCGATCAACCCAATATGATATCATCAATAGAAAAAAAATAAATCCATTGTCCCAGTCATCGAGCGATCGATCGATCGTACGCCCATTTTTTGTAGACGCCAGCTTGTCTGGCATGTCATTGGCCCGCCGAACAGTAATGCTCGTTGATTACCTGGCACAGTCAGCTCTACCTATGAATATTTCACGTCTTCCTATTAACACCCCCTAACTAATAAGCCAAATTGACCAATAATTACTTGATTTTATTAGAAAGTTGAATTAAATCAAATATATAAAACAAATTTTTAGAATTCACAGATAAATTAATTTTCTTAACATGATTTTCATACGAAAAATAATTTATTTACAATTACAATTAAAATTAAATTAAGCAAAAGTAAGACAAAATTATTGTATTCTTTTGTTTTATAAATTAAATATTGTGCGAAATGGCGGTTAATAATTTTTAATTAGGAGTTTTAAAATATATATATATTTAATTTCTTTTTTTTTCGAATATGTAAGTATTTATTCAGTATTAATGCGTAAATAGGTCAGTTCTCTTGAAGATTTGGAAACTTAAAGTGATTCATATATTTATTACTTCAAAAGATAAATAATAATAATAATAATAAATATATAGCACCAAGCAACAACAATTGTAATAAGAATGTAAAAGGAAGTAAAATTTTTTAAAATGTTATTTTCATTTCATCTCTTTTAAACCAATTTTTTGTTCCCAAATAAAAATTTAGTCTTAGGAAAATTGTTAGGAAATTTGAAAATCTGCAAATAATCAGTTAATATAAATTTCTTGTTGCGCAGTGTTAGCTGCAGAACAATTTAAAATTTCAAAATTCTGGGAAACATCAAATGAATTTCTTTAGATAAAATATTCTGTTCGTAATAGATTTGCGATATTATACCAGGAAATTTACAATTAAGCCCATTTAATTTGAATAGGCTAATAAAAAAAGTAACGAACGACAAATACGTATGCCTGAATATGAATATATATACTTACATGCCAAGAATACTGCAAACAGCTTCATTTTGCTGTAATTTATATGGGTAGATATAGATATATGTATTTGAAATATGTCTATATATATATATGGATTTTGCGATGTGCCTTTGAAGATGAGTTCGCTATTATCTATCACACCAGCAAACAACTAAAAACTCGGTCGCACAGTTCTATATATTTATATTTAATAAAATGCGGCGCGTGAACTTTGCGGGTTAAAATCGGGTGTGTATATAGAAGTAGTATTTATGCGGCGCTTGATTTTTGCTTTACACGATTACTATATATGTTTATATATATATTAGTATATATATATTTATATGTCGTATACTTTATAAGTATCTATGCTACGCTTTATATACTATTTAAAAATTGTCACTGAACTTCAGACACGTGTATATAATGCCGTATACACTATGTATGTGTATATATTTTTTTATATATGAGTTTTGTTGTTAAATACGCGACACAGTCGTTGCTATAAGTATATCCACGCACTGATTCCGTTTACACACGTCGGCGAGGCCGCGTCCAAATGCGAACTGAAACTGAACCAAGCGCAAAGATATCCTCCAGCCAGCGGGTAAGCGAGATAGATTCACAGAGCGAACAAGCGAGCGAGCGAGAGAGACGGAGGGAGAGAGAGAGACAGGGAGAGCAAGTGAGCTCTGACACTGACTCTGGCTGTTGGACTGACTGATGAGACTGAAGCTGGATGCGGTTGCTGTTGCGGCTGCTGTGGCTGCTGCTGCTGCTGCTGCTGTTAGATACAGAGATAACTATGTGTGTACACATACACACACACAGTCACACGTACACACACACAAACACATCCGCCGAGAACCGAAAGGCACGTTCGAATTTTCAGTTTCGAGTTTGGGGTTCAATAATCAATCAAAATCAGTGACTGACTAACTGATTGGCTGACTGACAGTCTGACTGGCTGGCTATGGCTATCTGGCTGGCTGGCTATCTTGGCTTTGGCTTTGGCTTTGGGCTGGCTCGTCGTAGCGCACACGAATGATGTCCGACCACACAGTGTCTGTTAGTTTTATAGAATTTTTTTCCATGCTAAAATTGATTTACGCTCGTGTCGTCGTCTTCAGTTTTCTTTTCGTTTGCTTTGTACATTTTGCCTTTATTTTATTTTATTTTATTTATTTATTGTGTGTGTGACACCGTGTTGAGTCTGTTTATGTATGCGTGTGTGTGTGAGTGTGTGTGCGCTTCGTTGGTACAGCCGATCGATCGATCGCTCGTTTGATCGCTTGATCGATAGCTCTGTAGGCGGGTCACGCGTCACGTTCCCTAGCCCCTTGGTGGCTTTTGTTTGTTTTTTATAATTATTTGAATTATTTATGTATTTTATGCAGTCAGTCGTCACATCTGAAATTTTGAGTTCCTTTTTGTTTTTTTTTTTTTGGTATTTTTGCCCAGCTTTTTCGTTAATTGGATCACGTTCACGTTTCGCTTGATACTGTTCGCTGGCATCGACCAAATTTCGTCAGAAAAGAAATATTTGAAAATTGTTTTATTTTCATTATTATATATGTGCATACTCTTTTTTTTGGCGACGACCACGAGTTCAGTCCACTCGTCGTCTATGAATTTCCTTTGATGCTCAAACATTTCTTTTATTTGTTTTTTTTTTTTTTGCTGGCAATTCATGAATATATGTATGTACGTACATGTGTGCGTGTTTGTGCAGATCGTTATTTATGAAAGCGCGACGCATTTGATTTTTGATTTAGATTCACATTTTTGTGCGTCTGTACAAGTATTTTTTGTTGTCTTATCAGCCTGCTTATAGACAGACGTATTTTACATATAGTCCACGATTATCTCATAACTCATTCAAGACATTTATATTATTTTATTTTATGTATTATCAAAATACTCTGACTAATCGCACAAGGTTCGCGTTCTATAAACATTTAATGTGCTTTTTGGTTTTTCTTGGGATTTTTTACACGTTTCATTCGAACGTAAACAATCAACACATTTGTTTACATATGCTGCGGCAATGCAGTTTACAAACAATTAATATATATATAATTGTTTATGATGTTATTAAATATTGACACCCACGAAAAACTTTGGATAACCTTTGTAAATAATATAAATTTGAATTTTGGGTTTTATGCTAGTGCGCCTAAGGCATTTCTACCGAGAAGGTGATTTTTATTTGGGGAAAAAACATGTGCTTAGAAATATAATAAAAGGTGTGAGACATCTACTAAGTTAATAAAATATTATTAGTTGAGTTTCTACAGTAGTCTTATGCTTAAAACGATTCTTTAGATGGAAGAATAAAATTTGATATGCTACTCAAGTTTGCAAACATTAGAAAAAAACACTAAACGAATTCCAATAATTAATTAATTTTCCAATTTCCAATTTGTTGAACTTAAGTCTGCAGAAGCAGAGCGACGCCAGCCAGTGTCCATTTGCCTGGCTTGTCTTTGGTCTTAAGATTGAAGGTCCACACGTAGGTTGGGCCGCGGGTGCGTGTCTTATAGACGGGGCATTCGTACATGTTCCTCAAGTCCTGCTTGTCTTGGGTAATGGCCTGCGGGTGCAGAGAGATATATGGATATTTAGATTTGGATTTATGCAAACATGCGCCGCTTTTTAGACGCCACAGATCCGTTCCAAATTCAAAGTTGTCTTTCTATTTGGAATTCGCTCTTCGGCATTTGCATTTCAAACTCACTCGAATATTGATCACTGGCATTGATGGGTATAGTTCTTTGAGACGTGATTCCATAATAATGCCCTGCTGTATATCCCATCTGGCGCCTTCCATATAGATGCCATGCACACAGCAGCCGTCCCGCGGTGCCGTACTGTAATTAAATTCATAGATAGATTTGCGATTGATATCAAATAAGCATGGATTATTCACTAAGCTCCGGCAATTAGTGGGGCGCCTCTGTCTGACGCCAAATTCAAAATACGAGAAACTAGGCGCCACTTAATAAGCAATCCGTGTATCAAGAATCAAGCATCGACAGTCGGCAAATAGACAATTGTTAATTACATTTTATTATTAATTGCTATTTATAAATATTTGCTGTCTATGTATGGGTGCTGTGTTTAAAATTAGCTCCCAGTGAATAGCATTGCAGCTATTATTAGACTCAGCTTGAAGCCGTTGGCCGGATGAGCCGCTGTTTACACTATCTTCTCTGTGTAAGTATTGACACAAGTCATGTAGATTTACATAGCTACGTAGTTGATATGACAAGTAGTGCTGAGCACGTGTCATGTTGAATGTGCCAACCTAATCCGATGCGATTGGAAATGGTCTAAAACTGAACATTGTCGTAAGATGATAAGTCAGGGATTATATATACCTAAACACAAGCTAGGGTAATTTTGGGATATATTAGCGTGAGCTTAGCTAAGTGGGGACGACCCAACACGACTGTACGCAATCTTTCCACGCTTAAACACGAGTTACAATGAGCCAACACGAGCTGAACAGTAACTAAGCACGAGCAAACAGGACTCAAAACGATTTTACACAACTTTAAGCACGAGCTAATATTGCGATTGCTCGTTAGCTCCTCTCTAATAATGATTAGAGAATAAGGTATACGTATGTGTGCGTGAGTCTCGTCTAATTGGGTTGTCAGTAATGAGCATTTAGCTGTTTTAAAGCCATCAGTCATTTGTTTGGGTGAAGAGTAATATATTCAGGATAAAGGGTTTTTGGTAAAAGTAAGATAATTATAATATATATGTGCATCAGCCAAGTTCTATACACTGCCTGCCGCCAAGTGGGCATCCCCAGTGCAATGCCAGACAATGGTTTAAAAATCGGTCGCAAGTCTACTGATATTTGATTCGCGTAGCTGGGGGTCAGCGCCAAAGTCAATTAAAATTGCGTTTTAATAAAGTAGTGTGTGTCGCTCTTTGTCGGCTGGCACTTACGTAAATTCCTCCTTCTGCTTTTTGGTCACGTCACACTGTAGGCACATCTTGTCCAGTGGCAGCTCGTTGCGACGCGCTGTGCTCTGCATGATGGCCGTGAGCAACGATTGGGGATTAAAGAAGCCCGCCAGCCAGACACAGGAGGGTAGCTGCAACCGGGACACAAAACAAAAAGTATAAATATTTGCAAACTGGTTGGGTCCAGTCGGTTTGGCTGCAGCATACCACAAAATCGGTGGACCATGTCTCCAGCTCTCGCAAGCGCAGGCACAAATCGATAAACCAATTGTTGAGCCCCAACAGCGAGGGATAGGCACGTTGTGTCCATATCGGCGGCACTTGGTCCAAAAACAATGAATTCTCTAGAACCTCCATGTCCGATGTGATGGTCAGTTCACCCTTCAGGCCCAGATCGAGCTCCTTTAGGCTGCGTTTCATTTCGCTGGTCAGGAAATTCATGCGCTCGCATTCCTGAAATGCCACAATCACATAGGGCGTGCGCTCCTCCACTTTGTTCATGATCTCGACCATATTAAATTCCTCCGGCAGCTTCTCGATGATCTCGTCTACAATCTGCTTGACCTTATCCTCGCGCGTTACTGTAGCGCCACCGCCAGCACCTGCATCCCGTGGCTGCATTTCGAAGACGGTGCGAAAAATATTCTCCGCTCGAGTGGTCAGGAAGCCAACCTCTGCATTGGGATGCAGGCCATACAGATAGGGCGACTCGGCCGGCATCATGTCATCCACATAGTTGTGATAGCCCAGATAATCTGTGTTGGGTGGGGCAGCAAACGAAGGTGCCAAGAACAGCTCGCCGTCAACCAGATCCGGCTGCATATACTCCTCCAAATAGGTTATGCACAAGCGTCTGTCCCAATCGTCAGTTATGTGACCGCCGTACATAATCTCACCGAATAGATAACGCAAATCCTCCCAGGGCACCTTGGCATTAGCCTCCAAATAGTTATACAGCACTGATACGCTGATGTTCAAGTCGCCCACGTTGAAGGGATAGATCTTGTTCCAGCCCTGGGCTCCGAATTTCCGGCGCTCAGCTACCACAGCATGGAAATAGCACAGCGAAAAGAGAATGGCCTTGAATTCGGCCTCCTTGCCAGACATCTCCAGAGTTTCCTGCGTGAAGTTGTCCAATGCCTTGTGCAGATTGGCCAACATGCCCGTTGGCGGCTCATTGGTGATCTTTATAGAGGACTCCAAGATGCCCTGTAAATAGGAAATATTATAGTCGCTGTATTTAACCTTCCCTCAACGCTCACCTGTGGTATAATATGTGCCGATGGCGTTGAGGCGGGCTCTGCACTGAGGAACATGCGATAATCTGGATGTGAGCCATCGGCATAGTGTTCCAATTTCTTCTCCAGCACGGGCAGCCACTTGCGGACCAAGTGAATATTCTGGAGGACAACCCAATGTCCGTTTTTGGCTGCCGTATCCATGGCTGTTTCGGCAATTGACTCCTGACCCTGACCCAGGGACACATTGTGAAAGTTGTTCAGGTCCATAGAGAAACCCATTTGCTTGCCCAAAGCTTCCACATCTTTCAAGGGATTTACGCCTGGGGAGAGTATAAAGAATATGGGCGTGGATGGGCTAGCCTCTTCGTACGACTTTGCAAACTCCATGGCGCGACTCTCTACATATTTAGAGCCCAGTTTCTCTTCAATAAAATCGCTGTAAAATTATATCTATATTATTAAGCTCTCATTTACATAATAATATAATAATACTTACGCTAAAGCATAGGTCATGCGATCGGGTCGCAAGGCTCTGATCATGCAGAGGCGCTGCAACGCGGTTTTGTTTTTCCATTCCTGCGGAAATTTCTCCTTCTCCGGCAGCTCAGATTCCACGAGCTTTTTCCAGCGTTTCGATGACGTCTCAATGTCCCGATCCAAGTTGCGAAACTCATCTTTGGACGCTAGACTGCAAATTCCGCCCCACGATTGATTGCTCAAAAAATCCACAGGACTTGTCACATGTGGCTTGATCGGGAAGCGGAGTAGGAAGTCCAGTTCCGCGGATGAGAGCTCCTCGTTCATCAGCAGTATCTGTTCGAAAATAAGAGAAATGTGTATGCAAAAGAATTTATTAATCATTTACTTATCTTACCTGAAAAGTCATTTGCGAGGCAAAGATGAGCTTGTCGCATTCAAAAAGACCACGCGAAGTATACTGAAAGACCGAATACGTAAT